TCCTCCACTACATCGATGACTGTATCGGCGCTGCCTCTTGCTCCCATGAGGAGCTTGAACATTTCATCAACTTTACCAACACCTTTCACCCAACCTCAAATTCATCTGGACCATCTCTGATACCTCTCTCTCCTTCCTGGACCTCTCTGTCTCCATCTCTGGTGACTGCCTCGAAACTGATATCTATTTCAAGCCCACGGACTCCCACAGCTACCTGGACTACATCTCCTCTCATCCACCTTCCTGCAAGAATGCGGTCCCCTACTCCCAATTCCTCCGCCTCCACTGCATCTGCTCCCAAGATGTGGCATTCTATTCCGAACATCCCAGATGTCCTCTTATTTTAAGGACCGCAACTTCCCCCCTTCAGTGGTCGACAATGTTCTTGACCGCATCTCTTGCATTTCCCGCACCTCTGCCCTCACATTTCCTCCCCCCAACAAAAACAAAGACAGAATCCTCACAGATAGTAGGAACTGCAGATGCTGGAGAATCTGAGATAACAAGGTGTAGAGCTGGATGAACACGGCAGGCCAAGCAGCATCAGAGGAGCAGGAAGGCTGACGTTTCGGGCCTAGACCCTTCTTCAGAAATGGGTGAGGGGAAGGGGGTTCTGAAATAAATAGGGAGAGAGGGGGAGGCAGATACAAGATGGGTAGAGGAGAAGTTAGGTGGAGAGAATGCCTCTTTGACCTGTCTGTCTCCTCTCCACCTATCTTCTCCTCTATCCATCTTCTATCTGCCTCCCCCTTTCTCCCTATTTATTTCAGAACCCCATTCCCCTCCCCCATTTCTGAAGAAGGGTCTAGGCCCGAAACGTCAGCCTTCCTGCTCCTCTGATACTGCTTGGCCTGCCGTGTTCATCCAGCTCTACACCTTGTTATCACAGAATCCTCACGTATCACTCCACTAACCTCTGGATTCAATGTATCATTCTCCACCACTTCCACTACCTGCAATCTTACCACACAACCAAGGATATATTTCCCTCACCATCCCTACTTGCCATTTGTAGGGACCGCTCTCTCCATGACTCCCTCATCCGCTTCACACTCCCCACTAGCCCCACCACCCCGGCACCTTTTCCGCCAACCACAGGAAGTTCTACACCTGCCCCTACACCTCTCCCCTCACCTCCATCCAAAGAACCAAAAAAACCTTCCACATCAGACAGAGGTTCACCTGCACATCTGCTAATGTGGTCTATTGCATCCGCTGCTCCCGATGTGGCTCCTCTACATCGGTGAGACCAAACGAAGGCTTGGAAACCGTTTTGTAGAGCACCTGCGCTCTGTTCGCAACAAACGACAACACCTTCCAATCGCAAACCACTTCAACTCCCCCTCCCACTCCCTGGACGACATGTCCATCCTGGGCTCCCTCCAGTGTCACAACGACGCCACCCGGAAACTAGAGGAGCAGCACCTCATATTCCGCCTTGGGAGCCTACAACCCAATGGTCTCAATGTGGACTTTACCAGTTTCAAAATCTCCCCGCCCCCGGCCTCATTCCATGACCAACCCACCCTCTCATCCTGCCTCCTTGACCTGACACAACCTGTCCATCTTCTCTCCCACCTATCCACCCCTCCCACCTCACTGACCAATCCCCACCACTGCCTACCTGCACTCACCTATCACCATCCCAGCTACCTTCCCCAGCCCCACCCCTCCTCTCTCTATTTATTTCCCAGCCCCCTTCCCCTCCCCCATTTCTGAAGAAGGGTCCCGACCTGAAACGTCAGCTTTCCTGCTCCTCTGATGCTGCCTGGCCTGCTGTGTTCATCCAGCTCCACACTGTGTCATCTCAGACTCCAGCATCAGCAGTTCTTACAATCCCTGACAATGATCCTTATTTGGTTGCCAAGACCTGGGCGTTTTGGTATCAGCACACGAGTTGTTAGAGTCCTCTCCAGCTAAGGCAAGGATCCTATCCTTGCAATGAATGTCAGGCACCCCACCAGCCATCTTAGTTCCCTCTACCCTATAGTGGGCCCTTTTTCCAGGAATGAGACAAAGGGAGGAATTAAGTGAGATGGAAGTGGCTACTGCAACTGGGGAAAGGTGTCCCGAGTGAGTCAGTAGCTCAGACCATGCAGGGTTAGTGGTGCAAGTGGGTGAGAGTGAGCAAGGGATGTTGTTGCAGACACTTGCAAGAGCAAGAGCCTTGGTGGCAGGTGGGTGTAGTAACACAGTTCATGAGTATGACACATCAGAGAGAAGATGGTGGCATTTATTATCACATAACAAAGAAGGTCATTGCCGTTTCTGAATTCCGCACAGTAGAAATGGCACTGTCCTAGGTGCCAACATTGGGCAAGGCTGGCAGGGTCTGGTGCTGCAGTCTCCTCTGGCAGTCTGGAGGAAAGACATTTGCCCTGTCCTGCACTGCCTCATCCAGAAGGATCTATAGGTCTCTGTGGGGAAGGTTGGGAGCTAAACTGTTGGTTATCCAAAGCAACTCTTTGGAAATGGAAATGTGCAGGATGGCTCCGAGCTGCCAGTGCATGACAGTGTACAATTGCGTTTGAGATATGGCACCTCTGGGGCAGCCAAGCAATAGTGAATGCTCTGGGGAGGCAATGACCTAGTGGTATTAACCCCATTCTGTTAATCCAGAGACCTGGCTAATGTTCTGGGGAATACACCTAGAATACACCTCCTCCCACCCACCTTCCTGCAAAAATGCCATCCCCTATTCGCAATTCCTTCGTCTCCGCTGCATCTGCTCCCAGGATGAGGCATTCCACTCCCGTACATCTCAGTTGTCCTCGTTTTTCAAGGACCGCAACTTTCCCCCCTCAGTGGTCGAGAATGCCCTCAACCCTGTCTCCCACATTTCCCGCAACTCATCCCTCACACCCCATCCACGCAATAAGAACCAAAAAAGAATCCCCCTCGTCCTCACGTACCAGCCCACCAACCTCCGGATCCAAGGCATCATCCTCCAACACTTCCACCATCTGCAATCCGACCCCACCACCAGACATCTTTCCCTCCCCACCCTTATCTGCTTTCCAGAGGGACCGCTCTCTCCGTGACTCCCTTGTCCGCTCCACACTCCCCTCCAGCCCCACCACACCCGGCACTTTTCCCTGCAACCGCAGGAAGTGCTACACCTGCCCCCATACCTCCTCCCTCATCCCCATCCCAGGCCCCAAGAAGACTTTCCATATCAAGATGTTCACCTGCACATCTGCCAATGTGGTATACTGCATCCGCTGTACCCGTTGTGGCCTCCTCTACATCGGGGAAACCAAGCGGAGGCTCAAGGACCGCTATGCAGAACACCTACGCTCGGTTCGCAATAAACAACTGCACCTCCCAGTCGCGAACCACTTCAACTCCCCCTCCCATTCCTCAGACGACATGTCCATCCTGAACCTCCTGCAGTGCCAACGATGCCACCCGAAGGTTGCAGGAACAGCAACTCATATTCCACTTGGGAACCCTGCAGCCCAATGGTATCAATGTGGATTTCACAAGCTTCAAAATCTCCCCTCCCCCTACCGCATCCCAAAACCAGTCCAGCTCATCCCCGCCTCCCTAACCTGTTCTTCCTCCCACCTATCCCCTCCTCCCACCTCAAGCCGCACCCCCGTCTCCTATCTACTAACCTCATCCCGCCCCCTTGACCTGTCCGTCCTCCCTGGACTGACCTATCCCCTCCCTAACTCCCCCCCTACACTCACCTTTACTGGCTCCATCCCCGCCTCCTCGATCTGTCTGTTTCCTCTCCACCTATCCTCTCCTCTATCCCTATTTATTTCAGAACCCCCTTCCCCCCCACCATTTCTGATGAAGGGTCTAGGCCCAAAATGTCAGCCTTTCTGCTCCTATGATGCTGCTTGGCCTGCTGTGTTCATCCAGCTCTGCACCTTGTTGTCTCGGATTCTCCAGCATCTGTAGTTCCTACTATCTCTAATGTTCTGGGGATCCAGGTTCGAATCCTGCCACAGCAGATGGTGGAACTTGAATTCAATAAATGTCTAGAATTAAAAGTCTAATGGTGACCATGAGTTAATTATCAGCAAAAACCCATCTGGTTCACTAATATCCTTTAAGGAAGGAAACTGTCATCCTTACCTGGTTTGGCTTACATGTGACTCCAGACCCACAGCAATGTGGTTGAATCTTAACTGTCCTCTGGGCAATTAGAAATAGGTAATAATGTTTTCACCCTGCGAATGAATTACAAAAATAACCAATGAGGTGAGTTTAGGAGAACAGTCTGGGAGGCCTCACTGAGAGAAACCTAACAAACACCCCAAAGTTGAGACTTAGCTGATTTTTTTTTGGTAAAATTCAGCCCAAAGACGTCTATTTTGACCCCAAATACCGAACTTCCCACCAAGTGAGAGACGTGATTCTGCCACTTTGTATGAAACAGTGGCTCAGTGGTTAGCACTGAGGAGACCCAGGTTCCATTCCAGCCTCGGGCAACTGTCTGTGTGGAGCTTGCACTTTCTTCCCGTGACTGTGTGAGTTTCCTCCGGGTGCTCCGGTTTCCTCCCATAGTCCAAACATCTGCAGGTTAGGTGGATTGGCCATGCTCCATTGCCCTATAGTGTCCGGGATGTGGAAGCTAGGTGGATTAGCCGTGGGAAATGCAGGGTTACAGGGATGAGGTAGCGGGTTGGGTCTGGTTGGGATGCTCTTTGGCGGGTGGACTCGATGGACCAAATGGCCGCTGCTGGATTCTATGAAATAGCCGCTGGGTGGTTGCTAGCACACGACCGGGAAAAATCAAATTATTTCCCAATTTCAGGGAGAGGCTCTGCTGGGAATCAATGACTGATTCACAACAGAGCAGAGACTGCACCCTGGCACAAGACGTTTACCCAGCTTCGATTATTTCTGCACAATGTTCGGCTTGACTTTCGGGTAGAAATGGAAACAAAACCTGCAAATCCAGCGAGAAAGACTCCATCAGGGAGGGGTCCACAGCGCCGGCGACCTGCCTTTTCATTGGCGCTTTGGAAGATGCTGCGAAACAGGACTGGTAGCTCCTGGAACGCCTCCTTCAGAGAAGAGGAAGCCAGTCTGGACAAATTTGTATGACCACACCTATACACACCTACTCATCAGCTTTCATTAAAGAAAAATCATCAAATCAATCTCCAGATCGTGTCTCTTACTAGGACAGAGAAAGCGGAGAGTTGGGGTCCCCCAGAGTACCTATAGATAAAAACACCTATAATTTCGAGATTATGGCTGCTAAGGGCGGATACAATGTAAGTAAATAGCATGGTTATGTTTTTTTTTCGGGCGCTTTACAAATTCAGATGCATTGCTGTTTGAAATGCACGACGGAAAGACATGTTTCACAAGTCGGGGTTTGTTCATTTGTTCGGGTGCCCCAATTTCCGTATCTATTAGCCATGGAACTGTCATTTCGTGGAAGTCACCATTGCTGCGTCAAATGGCAAATAATCCAGATTCACGCAATTTCTCCTAGATGAATTGCATTGATATGTAAGCGCAAAGTCATCGACACCCCTTCTCTCCCATATATTAACTTTAACACATTGTAAATTCGTGTTAATGGCCGAGAGTTGAGTGATACAAAACCTCTCTAAAGATTTACAGCTCGGGATTATTACCATTGTGAAGAGCTGTGAGCTGTGAATTTGCAGTTTCAGAAATACCTGCGAGAAATTACACTTGGTTTCTGGGCGTGATCAAGCTGCTCACAAATTGGGAAGTGCAAGTCATAAAAGGATTTCAGCCCCGGTTTTAACTTCATGGCACCGAATTGCGAATCTTTTCACATACGCTGGGGATTTCTTTCACTCCTGGGTGAATAGCTCCAATTTCATCCAGAAAATGGTGTGTCCTCTTTCTAACATTCATCGACAAGAACTTCCTAATGGAGCAGTTGTTCATTCTGTCACACCCAGTTTCCAAAAAAAAGGAACGCGATTGTTTTAGAGATTACTTGCGCAGTTATCAAGAGAGTTAATATCGCACACCGTACAGACACAAGTATGCACATCAATATTATCACACACACAATTCTGGTATGATGTAGGTGAACTGAGGGCACTAACTGCTTCAGTAACTAAGGTGCTATGCAAATGCAACTCCCCACATAATTGCTTAGAATGCTTGAAATGCTGAGGTGTGGTCTCTTGAATGTTTGTCGTTGGAGCTCTCTAACGATAGGAGAGACAAAGATAGGAGATACTAGCTCAAATGATCTGGCCAACTGAAGAAATTAATTATTCCCTTATCCTAAGAACTGTGGTGATCTCCTGTCTTAGCTTATATTTATTTATTGAAATTGACTCCAACTCTTGGAGCCTCTTATGATAAATACAGTTTATTTGGCCCAAAAATACAAATGCTATCACACTATTTAAGAGCAAGAGGAGAAAAGGGAACTACAGACTTGTCAGAGTTGCATCAGTAGCAGGGACAATACTGGGATTTGTCATAAATGATGTCAGAAATGGACACCGATAAAATTGAGCAGCCAGCATAGATTTACAAATGGAAAATTGTGTTTGGTTAATGTTTTGAAGGTTTTTTTTTTGAGGCTATTACTAGCAAAATCAATAAGTGGCAGTTGATTGATGTAGTATATTTGGATTTTCAGAAGGTGGCTCAGCAATTTGAAACTATATGGTGTAATTCTCTCTCCAGGGGCAATGTGGGCCAACCCACAGCAGGTGGACTGCAGCAGGTCAAGAAGGCAGCTCACCACCACCTTCTCAAGGGCAACTGGGGATGGGCAATAAACATCCACATCCGACAAATAAATTAAAATAAGGAGCTGATGTTTGGTGTAGATTGAGGATTGGCTAACAGACAAAAAAAAGAAAAGGAATAAATTGATCCTTTTCATGTCAGCAAGCTGAGATGAGTGGGGCACCACAAGGATCTCTACCTGGGGCCCCAGCTGTCCACAATACATATCAAATGGAGGTACAGACCAAATGTAATCCTTCCAAACTCTCAGGTGATTGCAAGCTAAGTAGGAATATTTGATATGAGGGCGTTGGATGGGCTTTGTTACTGGGCAAGAATGTAGCAAGTGGAATATAATGTGGAAAATGAGAAGTTGCTCACCTCATACATGGAGTATTTCTTAAATCGTTGAAGGTGGGAAAGTATAGATATGCAAAGGGATTTGGATATTCTTGTCAGAAAGTCACTGAAGGCTAATTAGCAAGTTTAATAGCTAGTTCTGCAAGCTATAAGAAGGTTAATGGGATGTTAATGTTTATTGCAAGAGGGTTTGAGTACAGAAATAGTAGGCACAGTAGCAGAATTAGGCCATTCGGCTTATCAAGTCTGCACCACTGTTGGATCATGGCTGTTATGACCCTAACCCTAACCCTTTCTCAACCGCAATTTCCTGTCTTCTCCACTTAGTCCTTGCCAATCAGGAACCTATCTATCTCTGTCTTATACAGTCAATGACTTGGCCTCCATAGCCTTTTGTGGCAATGAGTTCCACAGATTCACCACCCTCTTGCCGAAGAAATTCCTCCTCATCTCCATTCCAAAGGGTCATCCCTTCACTCGGAGGTTGTGCCCTCTGGTCCTAGTCTGACCTACTAGTGAAAACATCTTGTCCATGTCCGCTCTGTCCAGGCCCCTCATCCTTCTAAACCCCATCCAGACCCAGAGTCCTTGACTACTCCTCATATGACTAAGCCCTTCCTCCTTGGGATCATTCTTGTAAACCTAACCTAAACAAACTGCGCCTGGAATACTGTGTTAGATATGACACAGTGTGGAGCTGGAAGAACACAGCAGGCCAGTCAGCATCAGAGGAGCAGGAAAGCTGACATTTCAGATCAGGACCCTTCTTTAGAAATGGGGGAGGGGGAAGGGAGCTCAAATAAATAGAGGAGGGGTGGGGCTGGGGCAGGTAGGTGGGATGGTGATAGGTGAGTGCAGGTAGGGAGTGGTGGGGATTGGTCAGTGAGGTGGGAGGAGCAGATAGGCGGGAGAGAAGATGGACAGGTCAAGGAGGTGGGGATGAGGCTGGGGATGGGGAGATTTTGAAACTAGTAAAGTCCACATTGAGACCATTGGGTTGTAGGCTCCCAAGGCGGAATATGAGGTGCTGCTCCTCTAGTTTCCGGGTAGTGTCATTGTGACACTGGAGGAGGCCCAGAATGGACATGTCACCCAGGGAGTGGGAGGGGGCAGTTGAAGTGGTTCGAAACTGCAAGGTGTTGTCGTTTGTTGCGAACTGGCGCAGATGCTCTACAAAGCGGTCTCTGAGCCTCCACTTGGTCTCACCAATGTAGAGGAGGCCACGTTGGGAGCAGCGGATGCAGTAGACCACATTAGCAGATGTGCAGGTGAACCTATGTCTGATGTGGAAGGTTTTTTTTTGGGGCTTGGTTTCGAGATGAGAGGGCAGGTGTAGCACTTTCTGCGGTTGCAGGGAAAGGTGCCGGGGTGGTGGAGATAGTGGGGACTGTGGAGTGGATGAGAGAGTGGCAGAGAGAGCAGTGGCTACAGAAGGCAGATAGAGGTGGGGAGGGAAATATATCCTTGGTTGTGGGGTCAGATTGTAGGCGGCGGAAGGGGCAGAGAATGATATGTTGAATCCGGAGGTTAGTGGGGTGATACATGAGGACAGGGGGATTCTGTCTTTGTTTTTGTCTTTGTTTTTGTTGCGGAGAGGGGATGTGAGGGCAGAGGTATGGAAAACGCAAGAGATGCAGTCGAGAGCATTTTTGACCACTGAAGCGGGGGGAAGGAAGAGGACACCTGGGATGTTTGGGAGTGGAATGCCCCATCTTGGGAGCAGAGGCAGAGGAATTGGGAGTAGGAGATCGCATTCTTGCAGGAAGGTGGTGAACTAGAATACTGTGTGTAGTTTTGGTCTCCTTATCTCAGGAAAATTGTTATTGCCCTAGAGTGAGTGCAACAGCGGTTAACCAGACTTGTTCCCAGGATGGCAGGACTGTGCTATGAAGAAAGATGGGGCAATATCTGCCTGTATTGCCCAGTGGTTTTGAAAAATGAGAGGCAATCTCATTGAAACCTACAAAATACTTAAAGGGATAGACAGGGTAAATGCAACAAAGATGTTTCCTCTGGTTAGAGAGCCTAAGCGGCGCAATTTAAAAATAAGGGGGAAACTGAGATGAGAATTTCCTTTATACTCAGTGGTGAATCTTTGGAATTCCCTACAACAAAGGGCTGTGGAAGCTCAGTCCTTCAGTATGTTTAAAGTAAAAACCGATAGATTTCTGATTCCCAATCGGGTAAAGGATAATGGGAATGGGGTGCATTAAAAATATATGAAATGTTGGTTCGGTCATGATCGTATTGAATGGCAGTGCTGTCCTGACAGGCTTCCTCCTGTTGCTATGTTCCTACAACACTTTTCATTCATATAGCACCTTTTTCACACCATGAAATATTCCAGGTGCTTCACAGGAGCATTGTCAATCAAAAGACAGAACTGAGCTGCATAGGAGATATTAAGGCAGATGACCAAAAGCTAGAGGTAGGTTTTAAGGAGTGTCTTAAAGGAGAGCAATGTCAGAGCTCTGAGAGATTTAAGGCCTTGGACAGCTGAGGGCGTGGCCGACATGCTGAAGTGATTCCAATCAGGGATACCCCAAAGGTCACAATTTGAGAGGTCTGAGATCTTGCAGGATCGTTGCGGGAATGCTTGTAGGAGGTGACTGAGCTCAGGAAGGATTTTCAGATGAGGACATGAATTTTAAAATGAAAGTAGTTACTTAATCATCGAATTCCTACAGTGTGGAAGCAGGCCATTCAGCTCCTTGAGTGCACACTGACTCTCCAAAGAGCATCCCATCCATCCTATCCCTGTAACCCTGCATTTGCCATGGCCAATCCACATAGCTTGCGCATCTTTGGACTGTGGGAGGAAACCAGAGCACCCAGAGGAAACCCATGCAGACACAGGGAGAATGTGCGAACTCCGCAGAGACAGTTGCGCGAGGGTGGAATTGAGCCTGGATCCCTGGCACTGTGAGGCAGCAGTGCTAACCACTGAGCTACCATGCCACCTACTTGGAGCAAATATAGGAAGAATAGATTAATTGAGCTTCATATAATGTGCAGGCAGCAGAGTTTTGGATATCCAAATTTCTGGAATTTTGAATGTAGGAGAGGCCGGCCAGGAGTACATTGCAATCCTTTAGATGTAGTAAAAGGATGGATGAGAGATCAGTGACAGATAAGTGATCAGAGACCAGTGCTGCAATGGAGATGGAAGACGGCAGGTCTGGATTCTGTGGTTATAGACTGATCTCGGGGTCAAATACGACACTGAAATTACAAATTCTCTGCATTGAATAGCTCTGAGGAAGGGGCTGGAGTTGACGGCTAGGACATGACATTGTAGCAGACACTGAAAAGAATGTTCAGGCTCCCAGTTGAAGTTATGCACCAGTGGGGGAAGTAATTGCAGGTAACTCTCTGCCTTTAACTGGAGAGGTAAGCAATTGAAACCAGTTTATTGAGGAGAAATATGGGAAGAAAATAGTGCCAAAGGTGCAGACATTGAGAAGGATAAGGATATATTTCACAGTTAGATAGGATGTGTTTTATGATTTTGATACTGTGGCAGGGATAGAAACTCGATTTGGGGGATTCGTGACCTGCAGCAGTTCAAAAGGCCAGATCGATACCACCTTCTCAACTTGGGATGGGCAATAAATGCTGGCGCAGCCAGTGACACACTCATTCCATGAAGTGAATTGAAAAGAAAATATATAAAATTACACCAAATGTTTGTGCTGATTGGGAGATAAGAGCATGTTTAAAATTTTGTGGGCCAAAAAGGAAATGGGACAGTAATTGACAAGTACAGTGGAAGCGAGGATGGGTTTTAATTTTCAAGGTCATGAAGAATAAAGAAAGCAGATAAATGTTTTCTCCAGAACCTTCTCCTCACATCGTGTCAGGATCAAAACTGGACACAATCTCCATCTATGGCCGTCTGAAAATCTTGCAGTGAATAGCATTCTTTATAAGCATTGGTCCAGGAATATAACCTAAAGTCTTACCCATCTTCACAATGATCTTGTCATGCCAGTTATAGATTAATAATCACTGCTCAGCCTTTCTCTCTTAGCATAACCTCTCATTTTCAATGCCGTGGTAAGTGATGAGACAAATGTCAGCTCTAACAGACTTGGCCTATTGTGAATGTTGTAGTTTACATATGGGAACAAATTTCTTTTATTTTCTTTATTCATTCATGGGATGAAGGCATCGCTGGCTAGGCAGCATTTATTGCCCATCCTTAACTGCCCAGAGGGCAGATTTCCTTCCCTAAAGGACATCAGTGAAACAGATGGGTTTTTCTGACAATCAGCAATGGATTCACGGTCATCATTTAAACTCTTGTATCCAGATATTTCTAGAATTCAAATTCCACCATCTGCCGTGGCAGGATTCAAACCCAGTTCCCCAGAATATTATCTGGGTCTGGATTAACAGTCCAGTGATATTAATACTAGGCCATCACCCAGGAGATGGAGAGGAAAAATCCTGAACTCATAACTTCTTTACTCTGTGAGAAACAAATCCTTGGAAAGCTCTAAAGTAGAGTAACATTAACTCTGTTTATCTCAACGGTTGCTATCAGCATTATATTGTTGTTTCAAGTTTCCAGCATCCATTTTGCTTTTCTCCTCTTGTGCAATCTGTGCAGAATGATCCATTGTTGAATTTTATCTCAATGTTCCCACCTGAAACACCTTTAAATTTCTCAATGAAATGTTGGTAAAATATTGTAACTATATTTTTCTTCCTTGTGCAGGCAAGAGGCACTATCAAACCATGTCCTGGCTTTAATGCTTACCATGATGCAGAAAATCTTCGCAATGCTATGAAAGGACTAGGTAAATAAAGTTTTTCAACAAATGGCCCATTTACTATTGAATGATGGAGCAGAGACAACTGCATTGGGTAGCTAGGATGGAGTGGAGCAGGATGTCTAAGCTTAGTTTCTAGCTCCTTTTTCATAGCTGCCAGCTCAATTAGTTGCTTCAAGTCATTATGAATAGTCCTTGGTCCCATGTGCATATGGTGCCCTTTCTTGACCTGCAAACTGTACCAGTTTGGTGCCATTGAATACTTCTGGTAAAGCGCTGGATTAAACACTCTGCTGTGAATGAGGGGGAGATAGTTATGATTGAAAGTGAGACTTCTTTGAAAAAGAAACAGCTTTAAAATTGCAAAACACAGAGAAAGATAATGGACATATTCTTGCTACATTCCTGTCTAAGTTGATTTTCACAAAGATCCTTGACCCACTTAAGAATTTTGCTGATGTTGTTTGGTTATGCACTAGATAGGTACAATTTAGATCATGTTGCAGTGTTGAATTTGTAAACCAGGAAATCCACCTCTACAGAGGATCTTCAGATCTAGAGAAAAATGTTCAAGTTATCGCTATTTTATGAAGTGAAGTAATTAAATAGATTGGTGAAAGTGGATTATTTTTAAAAAGTGGCTAAAACCAAAGGAGATGAACCATAATAAACATATGCTAACTTGTCAGCTTGTAAGTAACTTTGCAAAAATGAAATCCCATTGGGATAGAAATGTTCATTGCCAACAAAGCAGAATGGTTGGCAGGCCGGTCGGCAGTCTTTTGGATCTGATCCTATTGTATCTCGTGGTCTGTGTGCTTTTGAGACCTGCTCGTGATGTCATTGCTGTATCATGTGATTTGAGGATACATGTCTCTATCCTCTTACTTTGGAATCACTTGAAGCATGATATCCTCCTAGGTGTATGTTGCTCTGTGTAACTTAAAAGCTACATACGTTACCTGTAACAAGTGTCTATTGAATTCATCAATAACTTGATCTCCATAGCCAGTTTTTTATGTTAATATAAGATAATGTAAGCATTGCCTCACCAGGTATAACATGCTGTTGGAGGCAAAGCCTCATCACTAATGGCCAAATGATGCCTTCCCCACCAAAAGAATTGACCCCTTCTAAGTGTGAGGAAGAACAGCATTAAAATGAGGTTGTAGATTTTGAGGGCTATGTTGTGGGTGGATTTATTTAACGCTTGTCTCTCAAATTAAATCCAACAAACTGTTAAAATGTAACTCGTAATTCTTTTGTGTTTGCCTCAAAGTTTTACGAGGCATGTACACCTGGTGTCTTCTGTAAACGTCTATTTACTTCATCACTGGTTGTGACAGCTTTTATGAAATAGAGGTGTTTCCCTGGTTTAAATACAGTATCTACTTTTGTCAGCATTTGTTACTGCTATTATGGAATTCCCAGAATTTAGAAATAAAACATTAAAAGGTATCGGGTGGAGATCAGTTCTATTTCATTCAAAGAAGTTACACTGAGATTTCCATATGTAGGATTCAATTACAATTAGTGTGTTCACATTTATTTACACCATGTGTTTATGTTGTCTAATTCTTAGAACTATTTTCCATTTGGTCACTTATTTATAGAGTTGCTCTAATGTAGTAATTGATAATCTGCATTGTCCATGTTAGAACGGTAACGGTAACAGCTACAGGACGGAGATGAGGTGTAGAATTAATGATGACACAGGAGGCTGTTAGTTTGATACATTCAAGACATCTAAGAACACAAAAACTAGCTTCTAATCCATGTCTCAGTACATCCTGTTTTTATGCAGGTTTTAATTTTTCAATGATTGGCAGCATATAATGAATTTTATTTTCAAGACCGGAAGATAAAACCAATGTAAACTTGAAACTTACTGGTAACAAAAAGTGAATATTCAATACACACAAACATGAGTTTGCCTGTTATTTTGATAACAATGTCAACCAGATAATTTCCAATTGTTTAAAATAGAGAAAGTAATGATGGGCTTAACTATTCAAATGCTGTTAATGCCAGTACTAATTTCTAGCTTCATGCATTAAGATTTTTAAAATGAAGTTGGAGTGCTTCAATTCTAATCTCGTGTGTACTCCCAACTTCCTATATCCCATCATTGGTAGCACTGGTAGCAGCCTTAAGCTAAGGAATTCCGGTGTCTAATCCTCTCCACCTCAAAACCCCTCTCTCCTCTTAAGATGCTCCTTTAAACCTACCTCTGTGACCATGTCACCTGACCTAATGTCTCCTCCTTTGGCTCACTGTCGAATTTTATCTGATTATTCTCGTAAAACACCTATTGGATATGTTGCTACTCTACAGATGCTGTATAAGTGTAAGAAGTTAATATTGACCTGCATTTAAAGAAGAAAAAGGCAAGTTAATAGTCCAGAGAGACCTTAACATTTTGTATCAACAACAGAGTTCTGAAGCTACTTAAAATGAATTCACAGTCCATTCAGAAAACTCTCAATCAAGGCAAATGTTATTTGCCAGTTCTACACATAATGTTATTTGCCTTTGGGTTACCAAAGAAGGAACGCAATGATGATACCTTTTTGTTTTTTGTTGTGTATCTTGTAAAAAGTTTCTGTTCACAAATTAACATGATGCACCTGAAATCATATTCTCAATGAAAGGTGATGAACTTTTCAGAATTCCATTAGAGCTACAATAACTTGTCAGCATTTTAATCTTGAAAATACTTGCGACCAGTTCAAGAGCGGAGTTTTCATGACAGACTGGAAAAGGGAAATAGGATTTTAAGAATTCTAACAATGCATCAAATGAAATGGCATGAATCAGAATTTTCTGGGGTTCTGCTTTTTCTGTGATGTGTCTCCTTGGTATAGAATTCGCAAGCACCTTTGGTAACTTTTTTTAAACGATACAGAGACAGACAACTGAACCAAATCAACAGTTCTACCTCTATATTCACAATACAGTAAAATTAAACTGTCAAAGAGCCCCAGATAGTCAATCCAGTGGTTCCTAACCAGTCTTTTGAATAACCAGTTCCAGAGTAAATTAATTTCTAGACACTGGTTTTGTATCTTAAACAAAAGAATTAACCATTGATTAAATAAAAATGGCATTAGCAAGAGCAAACTATATAACAAAGTAAGATGATTAATGAAAACCAAAAGAACTGTGGACGCTGTAAATCAGAAACAAAAATAGAAATTCCTGAAATAGCTCAGCAGCTCCGTTTTGAGGAAAGGTCACTCAACAGGAGATGCTAGCTCTGATTTCTCTGCACAGATGCAGCAGGCCTGCTGAATTTTTCCAGCAATTTCTGTTTGTTTTCAAAGCTGATTAATGTCTGCACTTTAAACTTGAATCATTTGTTTCCAGCCCCCATTCACGCAAAAGACAATCATAATGTGGGGCTACCAGTGTTGGACTGGGATGGACAAGGTCAGAAATCACACAACACCAGGTTATAGTCCAACAGGTTTATTTGAAATCACAAGCTTTTTGAGCCTTGCTCCTTCGTCAGGTGTTAGTGAGAGAGGTAGTATCAGAAGTTATAAGTAAAAGATCAAAGAGTCACGTCACTGAGATTGTATTAAACAAACCCAAGATGCTGTTAAAACTTTAATTAGTTAGAAGATTTTAATTGATTAATATGTATATGTAAATCCCCAAATTCCTTTCAAGTCACTGTCCTGAGAGAACTAAAGGTTTTATCAGTGTAAAGAATTGGTGACATTTTAGGCCAGACAATGCATGTTAGGTGTTAGGTCTTGTGTAGAATCTGTTTTTGTTTTGTTTTGGTGTCAGACTGGTTTTGTTTCTAAAGTAGGAATTTATAAAACACCACATTGACTGCCTATAAATTGTGTGCTTTTTGAACAAAATAGAATGTATCTGCAAATACAGATTCACTCCATAAATTCACGTGTGTGTGCGTGCGTTGGAGAGAGAGAGTGAGTGTGCATGTGTGAGGGGGTGGAAGGGAAGAAAGAGTGAGACAAATACAGATAAGTTAAATAAAAGAAAACAAAGACAAGATTATTGAAATGTCCTTCACAAAACTTTGCTTCACAACCTTAAATATAGAATCTTTGGCTGTTTATCCTGAAACATTGATAAGGGTAACCCTCTCCGTTCACTTGGGTAAAGGCAGCAATACATCTAACTCAGCTTTCTGCTCTTTGGGTTTCCGCAAGCTGGTGTATCAGGTTAGGCAGGGAGCTTTCAAATCTCCATGCTGTCTCAGTAGCATTCCAGAACCATCACTCTGAAAACAGAGGTCAAGAAAAAACAATAATTCTAGTTATACCATGATAGACTGATCAACTCCTCCTTTACCTTGCGGAAGCCTTTCCAGTTTAAGGATGCAAATTTCCCTTTTTATTTTGTTGCCCTAAGTGTTGGGGCTGGTGTATTAGGTGGTGACAAACATGCCACCCCACTGGCAAGAGAACCCATCCAATTACCTGCCAGTCAGCTCATTTTAAGTATTGATGGGTGCATGTGGGCACCTATCTCGCCGTATGACTGACTTCCACTGGTGGCCCAGGTCACCAGAAGCTGCTAATATTCGGAAACCAGCAGATTCTGGATCCTAGGAATAGTCAGTCAGGGCCTACTCCTCAAGAATTCCAGCAGCAAGAAGGCTTGTTCTTTTAATTCTTTCAATGAGGCCTCAATTACCATTCAACAACTGCCATTTGCTTGAACACGGCATCTTTCAGACTTGCTAGAACCAATTCCCAGGTACTGACCTCATTAATACCAACTTCTGCTATTTAAACACAAATGATCCTCTCAGGATTGCTGTGTCTGTAGAACCTTTCAATCAAGACTCAGCCTGCAATTGGCCTCAGAAACAAACAAAGCTTGTTTGATCTGTTCTTTTCCTTTTAACATGGGCTGTCCCAAAGTTCACCAGTCATTTCCAGCTCATTATTCAAAATTGATTTTTTAAAAAAATGAGAGATTAGTGGGGTTTCTAACACCATATGTCTACTTTTACTGGAAAATCCACTTCAGTGTGTTGCATTTCCTTGCCTACAGTTAAGTAAGTAAATGTTGATTATCCTTACTGCTTGGGTTAACAAATCCTTGCCCTGTTGCACTTTTGAGTATTGCAGACATACCGGGCTTTAACTTGGCTTTAGTGATGTAATTCTGTTTTTAGGAGTGTTTGTAAGTTTCTTTTCAGTTTTTAAAATTGGCAAATATGATGCAAAACTTAGCCTCAGACAAGGTTGGAAAAGATATCATATTCCAGTTAACATCTGTACCAAGAACTATATTTTGTAATATAGTACAAGATTTGATCTACAATGGAGCTTAATTTAAATGCTCATTTGCACAGATACATTTGTCAAAAGTATAGTTTTTCAAATATTCTAAGCTGTTTTATTTGTGTGTTGTGTATTTCCATATTTCACTACTTCATAATTGGAAGTATCATCCTACATTTTGTTGTACCATGATCTCTAAAACGAAGCATTCTTCATAAAAGAAAATTGCCTTGTTAATCCCATCCCTGTAATCCATGCAAATAAAAATCATGTTTTGATATTGCTGCTGCTACCATAAATCAATAACTATAGCAGCTGGTTTACTCAATTTCCCAGCCTACAAAGCAAATAAATGCTCTACTGTGTTTTTCATCCTGAATAAACTCCTAAAAGTACAGTATTATGTTTGAAGTAATTTGCAAGATTCTTTGTAAATCTTTTCTTTATAGTATCAGCCATGACTTGCCTGGTAATTGTCTCACCTCTTGATTGCTGTACTGAGGGAGTACTGCATCATTGAAGGTGCCGTTGTTCAGAAGGGATATTAAAAGGAGGTTCTGTCTTTTCGTGCCAAATAGTGCAAAGGATCCCATGGCAATACTTTTGATTAAGAGAAGTCCTGGTGCCCTGGCTAACATCTGTTGCTCACACAATATCATTTAGCCATTATCACATTGCTCTTTGTGGGAGCTTCCTGTGCACAGATTGCAGACTGTATTTCCTGAATTACGAATGTAACTACATTTCAGAGTATAAGCTCCATCCCTGGACCTTGTAGCCACAGAAGGTGTGTTTGTACAATGATTTATGAACCTGCAAATCCTTCCAGTACGTCTTTGGCAGGCTTTAAGAGTGTGAGGGCATGCCAGTCACCTGTGCTTGGTGCAGAGTGGTGCCTCACAAGTCAGAAAGCCTCAGCCTCAGGATTCTTCATAGTCCAGGAATGGCAAACTGCAAAATAATTCATATATGCCTGCTTCATCCGCTACATACTTCTGGATGCCAGAAGGCTTCCTAGTTTAAGGATGCAAATTTCCCTTTTTTCCCTAAGTGTCAGGTGTTAGTTGGTGACAATCACGCCACCCTACTGGCAAGAGAACCCATCCAATCACCAGCTAGTCAGCTCATTTTTAAAACATTGATAGGTTCATCTGGGCAAATATCTCACCCTGTCACTGACTTCCACTGGTGGCCCAGGTATTCAGAAACCAGCAGCTTCTGGATCCTAGAGATAGTCAGTCAGGGCCTATTCCTTCAGAGATCCAGCAGTGAGAAGTTTTTTTTTTCAATTCTACTTGTGGGTTAGGGTTTGTGGGGAGAGAATGTTCAAAGCAGATAGGAGGCAGGGACAGGAGGATGACTTACAAAGGCCACCCCTTAGCCATCGCCAACACCGCCAACACCGCCCCCCCCCCCCCCCCCCCCCCCCCCACCAAATTCATGCTTCCGATTTCCCCTACTTAATTCGTAATGACCACTTCATAGCCTTAATTGCTTGCAAGTCAAGAAACTCCCCAATGGATATTCTCATCCAGCTCAGTTATGGATGTGGTGAGATAGGGTTAAGTTTCCCTCCAGGACCAACTCCCATCATTATTTCCACTTCTCAACGCTTCCAAGAAATGGGAAAAATTAAATCCTAAGAGGATTAGAACATCCCTCCAATTCATCTTTTACTGAGATAAAAGTTACCCAATGAAGAGAGCAAGAATCCTAACAGTACAAAGAACTAATTATAGTTCATGCAGCCATCTCATTTTATCTTTCCATTCTCTATCTATCCATACACTGGTTCTACCGGTATTTACCTTCCTAGATGCTGTCAATTTGCTTTGGAAAGTCTGAGCAGGAACACCTGGCGGATGAGTTGCTGTCAATGGCAAAATCCCCTTTCCGTGAAAATCAACGGTGAAGGTTGGGGATAAAAGCTAGGTCTCCATTGCAAGTCTATTGCTACAATGATATAACTGTAAAACAATACTTAATTGGAATTTTTAATGTGATGTTAATTCTGTGTTAATTTGCCAGGAACTAATGAAGATGAAATTATTGAGATTTTGACAACTCGCACCAATTTTCAACGACAGAAAATAATTGAAGTGTTTAAATCAAGTTATGATCAGGTAATGAACATCTCTTAATACATGCTAGGTGTCTAATGTACTTGAGAGAAGAACCCATATTTCTGATCAAATCAAGATGACATTATCTAGTAGATGGATGAATTACTTTTAAATTTTTTTTCATTTGAATTGCTACCCTGCTAACAGATCAGAGACGTCAATTTAAAAAAAAAGCATTTGGATAGGTACATGGATGGGAAGGGTTTAGAGGGATATGGACCAAATGCACGCAATTGGAACCAGCTGAGCGGACACCGTAGTCAGCATGGACCAGTTTGGGCCGAAGGGCCTGTTTCCATGCTGTATTACTCTATGACTCTAATAGAAAGTAGAGTTTAAATACTACAGTACACATTTTGTTTCATATTTTAAAATATGGGTTTATTTTGTCAGTGAAACAAACAGTTGTTATACTTCATCGTAAGGACTATATAATGCCTATTTAACCTACTTGCATAATTCCATGCAAAAGCGGCTGAAGCCAATTGTCCGGTTAGGTGGAAACTATCTTGTATTAAATAATGAGATAAATTTAGGATAGGATAGGGTGAGGCCTTGTAGGCATCTGAGATTTTGAAGATTGGCTTTCAACTACGTACTGTCTTAGCATGGGTCAGTAAGCACAGGATAAACTTGGCATTGTTAGGACACAGACAGGAGGGTTTAGGATGGCCTCCAGTTTATGGAAGATAAAATGCAAGCGGTCAGCTGGTAATGTGTCGTAATAGTCAAGTATACAGGTAACAAAAACATGAATGAAGGTTTTAGCAGCAGATTAGCAAGAGAAGCAGGAATTTTATGGTGCTGGAAGTAATGGATTTTAGCAATGGCACAGCTGTGTGTTCGGAAAAACATCCTGAGGTCCAGTTTCCAGTTGTCGACGTTGTAGTCTTAAAAAATGGCAGCTGAAGGGAGAGCACGACAATGGATCTCACATCTCCAGAACTGAAAGGAGGGTGTCACTTGTGTCAAAGAGATCACTAAATTGATTGTTTCAAAAGTTGTGAAATAGTTTTGATTGCATCCCATGGTCTTTGTAACTCTTAAAAGCAAGTCATAACAGAACTTTGAGTAGTATTTCATACTTTTTCTGTTGTGTTGAATAATGTGTTACTAAATTTTGCAATAGAGTCTAATTGATGAACTGAGATCAGAGCTTGGAGGGTACTTTAAATCTGTGGCTGAAGGTCTAATGCTGACTCCTGGAAAATTTGATGCAAAGGAAATGGCAAATGCAATGGAGGTAAGTCATAGCTATCCTTTTTTTGTTTTGCTTTCGCTTTTTCAGTCCCAAAAATGTGTAAATACAGAACCAAATCCTTACTTGAGATCCCTAATGCAAGATAGTATCTTCTCAGGCAACCATATCAGCAAGGAACAGCCCAAGCCTACAGGATAGCCTGAATAAACAGTTGAATTACTCACTTTCGATTATGAATCCATAGTAAACCATCCCCTCAAATCACTGCTTCTCCTAGTCCCCATTCCACCAGTGCTGCCTGCAGTCCCCAACTGCTTCCCTATCCTGCAATCCCTAATGAGGACATCATTTATCCACAGCCCTAAGATGCTCACAACTAGCCCTCTTTCCTGTCTCCTCTTCTTCGGTTCCTCCCGTAGCTTTGTTCCTATTTGAATGACAGCCTATACTCAGGGCCTGTGTGGATTTTGTTTTAAATGCAGGCAAAGTAAATATCCCACTTCAGTTTCTAGGCCAATGTGTTTATTGTGAGTAAGTGTATATAAGAACATCAGTACGGAATGGGAAAAGCCATTGGTCACTTTAGCAGCACTATTTTCACACACTGCTGTGTGAAGAATACACACTGCTGCTCTTGGCTGTTCTTTAATGGAAGTGTGTGAATAGCAGATAAAGGTAAAATCTAATACTTTAAAAGTCAAATAGTCTGCTAGCACTTGGCATCTAAGTTCAACTCCTACACCAGTTGGAGCTGGGTTTTCGGCTGAGGTCAAAGGCAGGAGTGACTGAAATTCACATCCATTGACTAACACCTCACTTCCATGAATTTATCCTGTTGGGTGGGTACATGAATAAGAATAGTTTAGAGGGATATGGGCCAAATGCTGGCAAATGGGACTAGATTAGTTTAGGATATCTGATTGGCATTAATGAGTTGGACCAAAGAGTCTTTTCCATGCTGGCCGACTCAGTAACTCTGTGACTGTTTCTGAGCCACATTTACACAATGAGTACCAAGTCAGATTGATGAAGTGCTTCAGTCATTAATTCCAGTGAAAGGAGGCTGACTAGGATTTTCCAGTTAGTCTCCAAATTCACGGCAGGGACCAGTTTAGGTGCCAGGAGAGAAATGCCAAGTGATAGGCTAGAGGTCCAGCAATTGCACCAGGTCCGAGGCAAGGGTTCTAGAATTTGTTACAAGTCTAGGAGAGATATTGCATATTGTCAAGCCCCTCCCAGGTGAGGAGGAATGAATCCGCTCTCCTCCTCTACTCAGCGACCCCCTTCAGTTGGTTGCAATAAAGTTAGTTAAAAAGGATCCCCTCTCTTCTCGGAAGAAATTAATTTGTTTTTAGCCAATTTAACCAGGTTTTCTTGAGTTAACAAAATATTCTGTTTTTAGGTATTAACTATGAGATAGAATGATAATGCAACATATTTCTCACGTTGAATCTGTGTGCTGTTGAGTCTAAAAATATATAAATTAAAAGATATTCAAACAAACCTCTGGGACATTTGTGAAGCTGAGAAAGCTCGAGGAGTCAATCTTCAGATCCTTGGCTTTGCAGGTGAACTAAATTCTTTTAATCCTGTTTCATTTTAGACTGTGTTGCTAACAAGCTTACAGCCCTCAGACAGAGAGAGACTTTTACCTGCAATGTAGGGGAGATTAGTCGATAGTTCTTCAACTGTGACTTTCACAGCATATTGGTGCATGAACTAAGCTGGCACAGACATGTACCTCAGCACACTAGCATGAACCAGATTTCAAGTTTGGTCTTGACCCCTGCCCCTCTCTTGTCCAGACTGCTGCATTTTCTTCCATCGTGCTCCCAGTCTGAGAATCTCCCAGGAGATTACAGATCAGTTTGTGGTACCTTTCTCCCTTTGATGCTTCCTTGACAACTTCAGGTGTGATATTCCAGAATTCTTAACAGGCAGTGAAATTTACATCCACAGTCCGCTTTTGGCTGTATTTACTTTCTTTTTGAAAACAGAATTGTTGCAATTAAAAGTGCTTATGGGCAAATTGATATCGGGGGTTATGATCTGTGGTCATGACACTAGACCTAAAGGCATTCCCTGTCTACCTGGGTGAAAGAACAGCTGTGGGTAGCTCTGTGGAGGATGTTCTCTCCCCTGACACCTCCACACTCTAATATCTGACTGCTAAATGTACTATTTTTCATTAATTACAGATTTAACATTTACTTGATTTGTACTGTGGTTAGTCTGTCTCTTGAATGACTCTACAGTGGTCGTTCGCAGTGGCCCCAGGCGTGTGCTATTAAACCATGACTCCACTTTGTTATAGAATCATACAGCGTGGAAACAGACCCTTCGGTCCTACCAGTCCATGCCAAACATAATCCCAAACTAAACTAGTCCCACCTGCCTGCTGCTGGCCCATATCCCTCCAAATGTTTCCTATTCATATATCCTTCCAAATATCTTTTAAACGTTGTAACTGTACCCACATCCACCACTTCCTCAGGAGTTCATTCCAGACGCGAACGTAAAAAAGTTTGCTTCATGTCATTTTTAAATCTCTGTCTCCTCTCACCTTTAAAAATGTGCCCTCTAGTCTTGAAATTCCCCATCTTGGGGAAAAGCCAACTACCACCAACTCTCTCTATACCTCGCATTATTATATAAACCTCTGTCATGTCACCTCTCAACCTCCTATGCTCCAGTGAAAAATGTCCCAGCCTATATCCAGCCTTTCCTTATAACTCAAATCGTCTATACCTGGCAACATCCTGGTAAATCGTTTCTGAACCGTCTCCAGCTTGATAATATCTTTCCTATAACTGGGTGACCAGAACTGGACTATTCCAGAAGAGGCCTCACCAATATCCCGTACATAACATCCCAACTTCTATACTCAAAGGACTGAGCAATGAAGGCAAGCATGCCAACGCCTTTTTAACCATCCTGTCTATATGTGATGCAAACTTTAAAGAATTATGTACCTGCAGCCCTAAGTCCCTCTGTTCTACAATACTACCCAAGGCCCTGCCATTAATTGTATAAGCCCTACTCTTGTTTGTTGTACCAAGATGCAATACCTCACACTTATCCAGATTGAACTCCATCTGCCATTTTTTTAGCCCATTGACCCATTTGATCAAGATCCCTTTGTAATCTTAGAAAACCTTCTTCACTGTCTACTATGCCACCGATTTTGGTGTCATCAACAAACTTACTAACCATGCCTTCTATGGTCTCATCCAAATCATTTATATAAATGACAAACAAAAGAGGACCCAGAACCAATCCTTGTGGAACACCGCTGGCCACAGGCCTCCAGTCTGAAAAGCAAAAACCTCCACCATTACTCTCTGTCTCCTGCTGTTAAGCCAATTATGCATTCAATTGGTAACCTCACCCTGAATCCCATGTGCCCTAACTTTACTAATTAGTCTACCATGCAGAACCTGGTCAAAGGCTTTACTAAAATTCCAATAAACAATATCTACTGCTCTGCTATCATTAACCTTTTTGGTAACTTATTCAAAAAAACTCAATCAAGTTTGTGAGACACAATTTTCCTTGCACAAAACCATGCTGACTACCTTTTTCAATTTTGGCCTCTCTAAATGTCCATAAATCCTATCTTTTGTAATCAGCTCCAACAATTTACCCACAACCGAAGTCAGACTCATAGGTCTATAAAGGTTTCTCCCTACAACCTTTCTTAAACACAGGTACAACATTAGCCACCCTCCAGTCATCAGACACCTCACCCATAGTTATAGGTGGTACAAATATTTCTGCAAGGAGTCTTGTAATTTCCTCCCTTACTTCCCACAATATTCCGGAATACATTTGATCAGGTCCCAGGGATTCATTCACCTTTATATTCCCTCAGACCTCCCGAACTACTACTTCTGTAATGTGAACTGTAGGATGCCTTCATGGTGAATCACCTTTTTCCTTTACTTACCCTTTCATTTTCATTAACCTGCTGCTACAGTCATGCTGGAAGGTTTCTAATTGGCTATACGGCTTCAGAGGCCTAGGCACTGCCCTTAATTGGACAGGGAATTGGCCAATAAATGCCAATTAAATGGACACTCCATCTCTGAAAATCCCAGCAAGTGACTGTTCCCCTTTAGGAGTACGTTTGCATTTCAGAAACAGTATTGTTGTCTATTTCCTGCCCTGGGAGGCAATCTGGTCCTTAGTTGAGATAGTAGAAAGTCAGTAAGCAAATAGAACCCTATCCTTAGCAGAAGACATAGCCTGGAAGACAGGTTTAAAATAATTCTTGCATTTTCTTTATCTTCCGAAGGACATAATATGCAAATTGAGTTATATTGAAGAGCTAACAGAATTATTGTTACCTGATTAGTGTAAGATGAAAATTGTGACTTCTCTAAACAAGAAGTATCATAATGTTTAGCAAAGATGAAAGGTCAAAGATTTATACACATTGTTGTATAACATATTTAGGATGAGCTTGTTATGGACCAGTCCAAGCCCCTCAAAACATATCAAGGAAAAAGCTTAGATAAAAACTCTTTTATTTTATTTATAGACTCGTGCAAGGCACTGTATTCCAGATTTGATTTGATTGGTCCACTACTAGGCTTAAAGCAAAACACACACTTAATTCTTACAACACTTTTAAAATACAAACAAAAAAAGGCACAACTTTAAATATTGAAATACTTAATAAAATTTTATTATTTAACTACTAATCATCAATTGTTCCAAAATAGCAGCATCCCATAAACACAGCCTTGGCAGAGGCATATTCAGCAAAACAGATTTTCCTCATGTCCTATCTCTGCTCCAGTCCAGGTGAAAGAAACACCAGAAGAAACAATCGAGCAGCAAAGAGAGAATTCAAGCTTTTTGTTGTAGCGCAGAAAGAGAGAGGATGCTGTATCCATCAGCTTCAACAGCTAACTCCAAACCCTGCCTGAAAGCACAATTAAAACCCTTCTGTGTGAGCCTGTCACCAGCCACTTCTGCTTCTTTTATCTAATTTAAAAAAACACTGAGCACAAAGCTGTTTACCCAGTGCTTCTGAAGCAGACATTCTGTCACCACTGTGGAACACACCTCTTTCGCAAGAGAAACAGCACAGTACAAATCCCTCTTAAAGATATAGTACCATCTCAAGGTTGACATTAAGTGCTTTTAAATTTGGTTGAGATCATGGTGTATGTAGTTAAAATTTGTTTTTCATTTGCCAGGGTGCTGGAACTGATGAACATGTCCTAATAGAAGTTCTTGCTACACGGACAAACAAACAACTTTGGGAACTTGCTGAAGCCTATCAATCAGGTAAAATATTTACTTTAATGTCTAATGTTGAAGGGATCTGTCAGTGAAACTGGGTTCACTGTAAATATTCAAACTCCACTCTTCAGAGTGCTTTTCCTCTCACCAGTTCCATCTGTTACCAGTTGCGGTTTGTATTTTCTCACCCTCATCGTCTTCATTTCATTTTTGCCCTTCAAAATACCTTTCCCTCCGAGCCACTCACCATCCTGTCTTGGAAATGTATCATCATCCCTTCACTGTCACTAGGTCAAGATTCTTTTTTAGAGGCATTGTGAGTGTACCTACACCAAATGAACAGCAGTGGTTCAAGAAGGCAGCTCACCACCATCTTCTCAAAGACAACTAGAGATTGGCAATAAATGCTGGCACAGCCAGTGATGCCCACATCCTGTGAGCAAATTAAAAATGAAGATCTTTCATCACCAGAAGCCTATTGTAATACTGTATTCAGCATTTGTATTTGTAAACTTCTGATTTTTGAGCCTTGGGCACAGGCTTAACTCTATTATTAAGATTGGTGGTTAAATGAATTTGGTTATTCCAAGTTCTCAGTCCACTTGTAGAGTCATACAGCACAGAATCAGACCCTTTGGTCCAACCAGTCCGTGCTGACCATGTTCCCAAACTAAACTAGTCGGACCTACCTGCGTATGGCCCATATCCCTTTTATTCGTGTACTTATATAAATGTATTTAAAACATTGTAACTGTACCTGCATCCACCACTTCCTCTGGAAGTCCATTCTGTGTTTTTAAAACAAAAATTCCCCTTATTTCTTTTATAAATCTTTGTCCTCTCACATTAAAAATATGCCCTCTAGTCTTGAAATCTGGAAATCCCCAGTTCTTCTGGTGTGAGTCAATTACATAATTTTGGAACTAATTGATTAAATTGCTGTGAGTTGGTTTACTAAGATTTGTCTAAATGGATGGAACAAATGATACTCTTGCTGTACAGGATTATATGTACTGAACAGATTGATTTTACAGTTTCTTTATAGCATACTTTCCTCTTACTATGTGAAGTTTCTGCTAACATTAACTATGGCACACAATATCAAGTTTAGAGAAAGCTGTCAGGAAATGTTCTTTTACTGTTGCTGTGTACATTTTTGAAAGAAATACAAAAGGCAGTGTAAAAATTCAGGATGTGATCAAAAGGAACAGGGAGGCACTTCCATATTTTTAGAAAATGATCTAGAATCCAAATAAGGAATGTATGACTGCTTCCTAATTTCTGTATTTTCTCTTGGAAGAATTTTGATGTTGATATTGAATCTATATAAAACAAATCAGCTGTCCTTTAATCCTTGAACCCAGGAAGTACTTGGTACAAAATTAAAACCATGGCAAAAATAGTCAAAGTTAGTACTTGGCTTGTATATTTCAGAAGTTAAGATGTGGGAGTGCCTAACTTGATTATTGCTGAAAGATGATGCACTTTGTTATACATTTGTCAGAACAGTTTGCATGAGTTACTATGTATTGGTAATACTTGCAAACTGTGCAGACAAGTGCAAAATATGAAAAGTTTAACTTTTTTATGTTTGACAATTCTGAAAGTTATTGAGTTATTTGCAAATTGTCGACATATGTAGCTTGTTTTTCATATTAAATTTTTTTATTTTTACAGGGTCTCTCCGTTGGTATTGATAATATTTTAAGACTTTCCCACTTGTTGAAAATGATTTTATCAGGTTCAGCAAAATGTTATGCCTAGAAAGATAGCAACGTAGAAAATAGGTGCAGGAGCAGGCCATTGGCCCTTCGAGCCTGCGCTAAAATGCAATATACCTGGATGAAGGTCAAGTGTAATCTGACCTCATGTACTTCCATTGGTGATATACTTTTTAAATATCAATTCTTTCATTTGTGTTAACTAATGTGAGCTTCTCCATTTTAACAAACAGCAACTTTTTAATTCTTTTATTTTTTTCAGAGCTTCCCAGGCCAAGAAAAAGCATTTACTATTTTCACTCACCAACAATATTATAAAAATCAGCTCCACTCAAACCTCTATCTTGGCGATTAACAAGTTAACTGTTATAAAAAGTGACTAATTTCATACAGTCATACAGCACGGAAACAGACCCTTCAATCCAACCAGTCCACGCTAACCGTGTTCACAAGCTAAATTAGTCCCACCTGCCTGCACCTGGCCCATATCTCTTCAAGCCTTTCCTATTCATGTACTTATCCAAATGTCTTTTAAACGTTGTAACTGTACCTGCATTCACCACTTTCTCTGGCAGTTCACTCCACATACGAACCACTCTGTGTTTTAAAAAAAAACTTGCTCAAATATGTCCTTTTTAGATCTGCGTCCTCACACCTGATAAATATAAACCCTAGTTTTGAACACCCCCATCCTAGGAAAATGAGCCTTGTCATTCACCTTTTATCTATGCCTCTCATGAAGTTATAAACCACAATAAAGACACCCCTCCACCTCCTACACTCCAGTGGTAAAAAAATGCCTTTCCAGTCTATTTTTATATCTCAAACCCTCCATTCTCTGCAACCTCCTGGTAAATCTTTTCTGAACCCTCTCCAGTTTAATAATAACTTTTTCAAAACAGGGTGACCAGACTTGCACACAGTACTTGAAGAGGTCTCACCAATGTCCTGTATAACCTCCAACATCACATTTCCTTTACCCAAAGGTCTGAGCAATGATGGCAAGTGTGCTAAATGCTTTCTTAACCACCCTGTCCATATGTCATGCAAACTTCAAAGAACTATGTACCTGAACCCTTAGGTCACTCCCAGGGCCCTATCATTAATTGTGTAAGTCCTGTCCTTGTTTGTATTACAAAAATGCAATACCTCACATTTATCCAAACTAAATTCCATCCTGTACTCCTCAGCCCATTAATGTTCAATTTCATGTCCTTTAGCACCCAAAGGTCTGTGAACGTGAGTAAAGAGTTGTTTAATTTTAAAAATACATTATTTGTTCTATGGCATCCTTGACTGTTGCGTGTTCCAGTATAGTAATTAGTTCCAATACATCAGAACTAGCATCTGAACTTGTCTAAGTTCATAGCCAGTTCAACTGTTTTATCTCTAAATGTGACATCGTCTATTTGTCAAGGCCTAGCACAATATTTGAAGTGCAAGTAATGTTTTCTGTCTTAAAGAAGATTTAGGTCAGGAGCAACCTCCATGTCTAGGCCAATATATTTAAAGGACTTCCAATCCTAAATTCCTCTTGAATCTTGTTTATAAAGTGCTGAAATTCTATAGAATTGGTTAAGTTGTTTCAAAAAAAAACACTTCTTTCTGATTTCTTTTTTCCCTTGCAATAATATTTTTAGTTGATTGATTGACCTCATTCCCAAGAACATGTGACCAACAGAGATAAGAAAACCTTGAAGATTGCTCCTCCCACTGTGAGGGAGTCCACTCCAACATTTTGATTTCTAAGTCACTCTTTTAAACCTTGAAACATGCGTCTTACTTGGTCTTAAGTTCCAATTAGGAGATTTTTTTTTCCATATACGTCCATCTCTGATAATACTGGCTGTCCTCTTTCTGGCACTTTGAGTAGACATCAAATTACTTTCAACTATCCAACATTTTTTATTATTTTACTTCTCTTATTAACTGAACTTAAATTTTTGCACAGCTGCCAAAACATCCTGTTAAAAGGACTTCTATTTCTGGTACTGTTTCTCAATTGTTTTGTTGCATAATCTTGCCCAGCGGTGGACTCTATTTAGCCCTCTGCCTGTCTCTGGATTATTGCTACTATGACTAGACGGTCTCTCTTTTTGATGATCAAGTGATTCTTTCACTTCTGTGTGGATGTTTTCCAGCCTAAGAGGCACTCCCAGATCTAATCTAAGATCCTGCACTAGATTTTCTTGTTTTCCATGTTTTTCTTCCCCTGAGTTCTTCCAGCCTATGGATCTGCTTGTCCATCATCTTGTATGTTTAGCAAATATTTCAGCTTGCCAATAGCACTGCCCACTGTTTCTGCAACAGTTACATCCTTCCATTCACTGATCCTTTTAATATGCATGTGATCCGAGTCCGCCCTCAAAGCAGTTATCCTCTAGATATAATAGTCCTGTCTTGTATGTCAATATAATTCTGCCTGTTGCCACCTAGCCGTTGATCTACCATATTTTGTTCTTCATAACTACCAGATACACGCATATATGAGGTACATGGTAGCTCATCCACTACTGAATAGTCAGATTGTGAAATGTTATCAACCCCAATTAACCTTAAATATGGACCTTCAATAGTTTGGACACTTTGTTGGAGAGGCATTCTCTTATCAGCTCTCCTACCTTACCTAGACACCTTGGCCAATCCCCTCTTCATACTAAACCCTGAATATTAAAGTTTATCCCGGAAGGTCTTAAGAAAACTTCACGCTCAAATTTTCTCAGATTTAATTCTTGACGACTGCCATTCTCCCTACATGTAAAGTGTTCAGTTTTGCAGAAAAAGGAACTAATTGTAACCCCTTAATCAATCAATGCCCTCCATCTCCTGTTATTTAACTACAACATAATTAACACATCAACATTTTTTTTATCAGTTGATTCATAGGTTTTCATAAGCTATCATCCTTGGACTTCTTGGAGTCACTGACTTTGAACAGTACGTGGACGAATGCTGTCTAGTAATTTTTTTTTATGGCAGTAAAGGGCTGGAGTTTTGCAGGGTTATCCAATGCTTTTCTGGAGGCAGTGATTACTGATTTTTCTGCTTCTGCTTTCATGCACACTATGTGCCTCACTTGAAGCTTTCAGTCACACGCTGAGCTCCATCCTCCCCAAAACTGAGCTTATACTGACCAGGGAAGGTTAGGTAACACAGGTCTTTTTTCCTGTCTTGAAAAGAGAAAGCTGACGGCTAACCTAATAGAGCCCTGCAGAAACTACAGTAGGTATTTAGGCAGAGGTATTGTTTACACTTGTGAGGAAGAACAAAACTAGAGGCTGTCATTATAAAATCATCACCAAGAAACTCAATAGCAAAATCCCCTGCTCAGCAAGTAGTGAAAATATGGAAATCATTACCCCACTGAGTGTCTGAGGCAAATTAGAAAGGGCGTATTTAAGGGTAGCAGAGATCAGCAGGGAGTGTCTGAGGCAAATTTAAAATGAACGTATTTAAGAGAAGCAGAGGTCAGTATATGAGGTGGAAGGAAGGAGAGGGTTATTCTGCTAGAATTAGATGCAAAAATTGAGAGGCATCAGTTCGGCATAAATTCGAGCGTGGATTAGTTGGGCTGAATGGCCTGTTTCTTTGCTACATGTTCATTGTAGTACTGAGGTGCAGGCATGGACACGAGGAAATTATCAAGTGGAATCATATTAAAACTAGACTGTTCAAGTCAGTAACAAAAACAAAGTTGCTGGAAAAGCTCAGCAGGTCTGGCAGCATCTGTGAAGGAGAAAACAGAGTTAACGTTTCAGGTCCGGTGACCCTTCCTCAGAACTGATGGTGGCTGGGAAAACGTCAATTTATATGCAGAAAATAGGGAGGTGGGTGGGCTAGGGAGTAAACGATAGGATAGAGCCCAAAGAGAGAGAAAGACAGTTGGACAGACAAGGGAGTTGCTAACGATCAGGCTGGGAGGGTGAACAGTTGTTAATGGGGACTGTTAGTGACTAACAACAGGGGGTGTGTAATGGCAGACTATGTGGTAACAAGGCATGGTGTATGGGGTGGGGGGGCTGGGACATGGGAGAGTTTAGGCTCTAAAATTATTGAACTCAATATTGAGTCTGGAGGGCTGTAGGGTCCCCAAGCGGAAAATGAGGTGTTGTTCCTCCAGCTTGTGTTGGGCTTCACTGGAACACTGCAGCAAACCAGAGACAGAGATGTTGGCCAGGGAGCAGGGTGGTGCGTTGAAGTGGCATACCATTGGATTACACAGTCAAAGCTCAAGTGTGAGCTATTCCTATGGAAAAGGAGTATGTAATTTGCCTGAATTTTCAACATATACCTTATGTTTTTGTATATGTAGATGTTCCTGCTTGGCATTATACATTTCAGAAGTGAATTAAATCCAGCATTTTCAGATTGCCCAATGAAAATAATCCCTTTTATCAGAGAGATTGAATAGTATTTGTCATTTCTTTTTGTTCCTGTAGAGAATGCTTCAAGTTTAAAAGATGATCTCAAGTCAGAGAATTCTGGAGACTTTGAGGAACTTTTGGTGTCCCTGCTAAAGGTTGGTGTGATTTGTATTCATGGCATTCCATTCCTTAGAATCATAAATTCACTTCGTATTTTCACAGAATTGTTACAGTGTAGAAGGAGAATATTCAGCCCATCATATCTGCACCAGCTCTCTGAATGAACATTGCAGTTCAGTGCCATTCCCCTGGCTTTTCCTCATAACCCTGAATATCGTTTCCATTTAAATCTAATGCCCTCTTGAATGCCTCACTTGAACCTGCTTCCACCACACTTTCGGGCAATGTGTTGCAGATCCTAACCACTCATTGTGTGAAAGAGCTGTCTTCTCGCATTCACATTTGCTTCTTTTGCAAATTGCCTTGTATCTGTGCCCTTTAAGGCAATAGCAAGGCTCTGTTGTTGACTTGAGAAAGAAATCAGATACACAAGGGTAATAAAAAGAAAGAATAGCTAAAGTGAATTTGGGACCATTGGAGAACTCGACTAGGGATTTGCTAATGATGAACAGGGAAATAATGTTAAACCAATACTTTGATCCCTCTTCACAATGGAGAACACCATAAACATCCCAAAAGTATCAGATAAGCAAGGTGCTAATGGGAGGAAAGGTCTTGTAACAGTCTGTATCATGAGGGTCAAAGTATTTGTCAAACTAATAAGAATGAAGGGAGACAATTTGCCAAAACTAAAGAGTTAGAGATAATGGAGGCATTGGTTGGAATATCCAGAACTCACTGGATTCTGGGTGGTTCCAATGGATTGGGAAAGTGCTAATATGATAGCCCTGCTCAACGAGGAAGAGAGACAAAAAGCAGGAAACTAGAAGCTAGTTAGCCTAACATAGAGTTCATTATTACAGAAGAAATAGCAGGACGTTCAAAAAGGCTTAAATCAGCAAACTTTTTTTTTGCTGAAAGGGAAATCGTGTTTAACCAATTTGCTGGAATTCTTTAGAACATAGAACAGTACAGCACAGTACGGGCCCTTCGGCCCATGATGTTGTGCCGACCTATTATCCTACTAAGATCAATCTACCCTGCATACCCTACATTTCACTATCCTCCATGCGCCTATCCAAGAGTCGCTTAAAAGTCTCTAAAGTATATGACTCCACTACCACTGCCAGCAGTGCATTCCACACACCCACCACTCTCAACTCAAGTTGTTATATAGTCAAAGACTCTCTTTGACTATATAACAACTTGAGTTGATAATGGGGAACCAGTAGAAGTGTTTGGATTTCCAGAAGGCATTCCATAAGATGCCAAGTAAAAAGTAAAAAGTATTGGGGATGATGCATTAGCTTGCGTTGTGGATTGGATAATACACAGATGACCAAGTTGGGATTAATAAGTCTTTCTCAGGCTGAAAATGTGTAACTAGTGGAGTAATCCAAGGCTCCGTCCTAAGTCCTCAGTTATTTACCAACGATATGAATAACTTGTATGGGGCAGCAGAGTGTAGTGTACCAAACTTACTGACGAATCAAAAATAGGTGGGAGGGCATGTTGTGATGAGGTCATAAGGAATGTTCAAGAGGATGTAGATAAGTTGTGTGAATGGGCAAGAACTTAGCAGGCAGATGGAGTTTGATGTAGGAAACTGAGAGGTTATGTACTTTGGGTAGAAAGAATCAAAAGTGAGACTATTATTTAAATGGGTAGAGAGAAAAATATGTAGCACAGGTGACTCTGGGTATTTGTGTACATGAAACACAAAAAGTTAGTATGCAGGTGCAGTGTGTAATTAAGATGGCAAATGGAAATTTAGCTTTCTATTACTGGTGTTTAAAATAGAGAGGTTTTGTAACTGTACTGGGAGTTGGGGTGACTGCACAAGAGTATTGTGTACAATTTTTGATGCCTGTATTTAAGAAAAGAAATACTGGAATTGGAAGCAGTTCAAAAGAGATTCATCCCATGAATCAGTCTAGTGAATGGTTGACTTATCAAGAACTGCTAAACAGATTGGGCCTTTATTTGTTTGAGTTTTGAAGAATGAGGGGTGATCTTATTGAAACATACAAGACAGGAAGAAAATTAGCCATCAGAATACATGAAAATCAGCTAGCAGCAAAACAGCACCACAAACTCTCCTTAATATCTGTACATTCAGACAATGAAGGCCATCAGTTTAATTGGGACAAAGTAACCACAGTAGCCCAAGCCAAACATAGACACACACGGGAATTCCTAGAGGCATGGTTCTCCACCCATACTTCAATCAACAAACATATAGAATTGGACCCCATATACAAACTCACACAGATCAAAACCGGAAATGACACTATTGACCATAACGGACCGGACAGTATAAATTCCAAGTGGAGTAGAATAACATCGCTTCATCGGAGGCTGTACTGATGATGTCACCTAGCATGGTGATGAAACGTCTGAACAAAAACAAGCCAGCTTGGCGAGCAAGTCAACAATCTGAAACGTACAAGATTCTGTATGGTGGGTGGGGGGACACTTGACAGGGAAGATGTTCCCACTAATGAGAATCTGAAGCTAGTGGACGTAGTTACAAAATAAGGGATATTCATTTAAAACTGAAACACAAGGGAAGTTCTTCTCCTCATGGCTGGTAAATGTATGGAATTCTTTACTCCAGACAGCTGTGGAAGCTAATTCACTGGAAGTAGTTAAAAATGTAATTAGATTTTTGATAGATCAGAGTGTTGAGGTTTATCAGGAGCAGGCATGAAAGATGAGTTGAGCCTGACACAGATCAACCATGATCTTGTTGAATGATGGGGCAGGCTTGCTTGGAAGGGGTGGGTGTGGTTGCTAATTGGGCCTATTTCTTGTGTTCTTCTTGTACAATAAGGGACAAAAATGGAAGGGGGACAAATTCATTTTTTTAAGATAAAACCTGGAGTAACAACAGATTTTAATAACTGGACTTTGACCATCTGGTGAGATTCTTGTACAGTTGCAATTATTTTTATGCAGCAATATTAGACTCAAACATTTGTGTTTTCTTTTTCAGGCTAAGCGTGATGAAAGCTACTATGTGGATGAAGACCTTGCAAATCAAGATGCTAAAGTAAGCTTTCTTTTATATATAAATAGTCATACAGCACAGAAACAGACTCTTTGTCCAACCCATCTGCACTGACCAGACATTCGACTCTGACCTAGTCCCACTTGCCAGCATCTGGCCCATATCCCTCTGAACCCTTCCTATTCATTATACCCATCCCGATGCCTTTTAAATGTTGTAATTGTACCAGCCTCCACCACTTCCGACAGCTCATTCCATACATGCACCACCCCGTGCATGAAAATACTATTCCTCGGGTCCCTTTTAAATCTTTCCCATCTCACCTTAAATCCTTGTCCTCTAGTTTTGAACTCCTCTACCCTGGCAAAAAGACCTTGGTTATTCACCCTATCCATGCCCCTCATGATTTTATAAACCTCTATAAGGGCACTCCTTAAACCTTCAACCCCCCAGGGGAAAATAGTCCCAAACTATTCAGCCTCTCCCTATAGCTCAAATCCTCTAACCTCACCAACATCCTTGTAAACCTTTTCTGCACTCTGTCAAGTTTCACAACATTCTTCCTATAGAAGAACTGCAACATGATGTTCATTGGGATTTTAGGCTTCTGGTGCCCAAGAGCCAATCTCATTCAGTTGTTAGCTTGCAAACTCTTTGATTTTTGCAAAGGGAAATATAGACCAAGAACGAACTATTCCAAAAATGTGTTGGTATGCTATTGAGTCCATTGTTTGAAATATTAGGAGATTCCTTCATTCAAAGATTCATCACAAGGTTGATCCCTAGGTTAAAAACTGAGAACCTGTATGTTATCCAAATCAGAGCGAATTAAGACACAAGATACTGAGTTTGCCTTTGAAAAGTAGGTTTATTTCCTGAAAGCAGCATTAAAGATCTGTCTTCTAAGTACAAACTGCCTTCCCTTTTTAATGACAAATAAAAACAGAAATTGTGGTGAAACTCAGCAGGTCTGGCAGCATCTGTAGAGAGAAGGCATAGTCAACATTTTGAATCCATTATCCTTCTTCAATCTTTTGAAAAAAACAATTACCTAATTAGCCTGAAGAACTAGCTGTAAAGAGGCACTGTAACAAAATTTACATCTTCAAAGACAAATTCCAAAATTAAATTGAATTCTTATTCTTGGGGTTGATGATGAATTCCAGCCCCCTGTGCTGCTTGTTGATTGTGGAAGGCCTTAAGTGTGTCAGTGGGCATCGCATGATCCCTCTCACTGGGCACCTGGGCACAAGTCCCTGTTTTAATTCCTCTTTACCTTTAACCTTAACTATAATGTAATATGTGCAAAAAGCATTCTTAAAAGAATCTTCTATCATGGCATTAAATCACAACTACATTATTACTTGTGATTTGCTTTTTATATGCTAAAACAAGGATATTATTAAATTGGAGAGGGTGCAGAAAACATTTACAAGGATCTACCAGGAGCGGAGGGTTTGTGTTATAAGGAGAGGTTGGATAAGCTGGGACTTTGTTACGGGAGCGTTCGAGTTTGAGGGATGACCTAATGGAGCTTAATAAAATCATGAGGGGCAAATTTAAGGTGAATAGCAAAGGTCTTTTCCCTAGGCTAGGGGAGTTCAAAACTAGGGGCCACATTTTTATGATAAGAGGAGAAAGATTCAAAAGGACCTGAGGGTCAACTTTTTCATACAGATACTGGTTCATATATGGAATGAACTGCCAGAGGAAGTGGTAGATGCAGGTACAGCTACAACATTTAAAAGACATTTGGACAGGTACATGAATAGGAAAGGTTTAGAGGGATATGGCCCAAACTTAGGCAAATGGAACTAGTATAGTTTGGAAAACCTGATCGGCATGAACAAGTTGGATTGAAGGGTCTGTTTCTGTGCTGTATGACTGTGTTTGATAACTAATCTACTTGGGAAACTTGAAATGCTGAATCACCCCAATTGTGTAATGCCTACATTGTCATTGTGATGGTGCAGGTCAGGGTGACTGAAGCAGACAAGGAATGTGTGAGCTTTTGTATACAGGTGTGAAAGGGTTAATCCTGACGAATGCCATAAACGCCAGCCCCACTATGACTATCATATGGACCCAAGGGTAGAACAGTTTAGGACTCAAGAAGTGAAACTAACATTGGATCCTCCTCAAAGTCTCCATAACTATGCCAATCGTACCAATGTAATCAGTGAAGCTAAACTATATTTCCTTAACTACCAGAGGCTTCGCTAGACCAGGAAGTAATTGCCCTCTACCACACTCATCCAAGCACTCCCTGTGGACCGTAAGACACAGGAGCATAGAACATAGAACATAGAACATTACAGCGCAGCACAGGCCCTTTGGCCCTCGATGTTGCGCCAACCTGTGAAACCAATCTGAAGCCCATCTAACCTAAACTATTCCAGTATCATCCATATGTTTATCCAATGACCATTTAAATGCCCTTAAAGTTGGCGAGTCTACTACTTTTGGAGGCAGGGCATTCCACGCCCTTACTACTCTCTGAGTAAAGAACCTACCTCTGACATCTGTCCTATATGTATCATCCCTCAATTTAAAGCTATGTCCCCTCGTGCTAGCCACCAGAATTAGACCATTCGGCCCATAGCTGATAAGTTTCTCAACTCCATTCTCCTGCCTTCTCCTGTAACCCTGGATCCCCTTACCAATCAAGAACCTATTTGTCTCTGTCTTAAATACTCTCAATGACTTGACCTCCACAGCCCACTGCAGCAAGGAGTTCCATAGATTCACCACCCTCTGGCTAAAGAAATTTCTCTTCGTCTCACTTCTAAATGGTCAGCCCTTCACTCAGGCTGCGCCCTCAGGTCCTAGTCTCTCCTACTAGTGGAAACATCTTCCCCACATCCACTTGAGCCAGCTCTCTCAGTATTCTGTAAGTTTCACTCAGAGTTCCCACATCCTTCTACACTCCATTGAGTACAAACCCAGAGGCCTTAACTGTTCCTCATATGACAAGCCTTTCGTCCCCAGGGTCATTTTTGTAAACCTCCTCTGAACCCCCTCCAATGCCAGCACATCCTTCCTTAGATACGGGGCCAAAACAACTCTCAACATTCCAAGTGCAGTCTGACCAGAACCTCAGCAGTATGTCTCTGCTCTTGTACCCTAGCCCTCTTGAAATGAATGCTAAAATTGAATTTACGTTTCTAATTACCAATTGAACCTGCCTATTAACCTTGTCAGAGTCCTCAACTAGCATTCTCAAGCCCCATTCTGCTTCAGATTTCCAAAGCCTTTCCCTATTTAGAAAATAGTCTATGCCTCTTCTTCCTATCAAAGTGTATAACCTCATACTTTCCCGCATTGTATTCCATCTGCCGTTTCTTTGCCCACTCTCCTAGCCTGTTCAAATCATTCTGCAGCGTCTCTGCTTCCTCCACACTACCTTCCTCTCCACCTATCTGTGTGTCGTCTGCAAACTTTGCAACAATTCCCCCAGTTCCGAAGTCCAGATGATTAATGTATAACAGAAATAGTTGTGATCCCAACACAAACCCTGGAACTGTACTAGTCACTGGCTGCCATCCTGAAAATGAGCCCTTTATCCCCACAGCCAGCTGATGTTCTATCCATGTCAGTATCATGCCCCTAACACCATATACTCTTAACTAGTTTAGCAGCCTCTTGTGCGGCACCTTGATAAAAGCCTTCTGTAAATCCTAATAGATCACGTCCTCTGGCTCTCCTTTGTCTAACTTGCTTGTAACCTCCTCGAAGAATTCAAACAGATTTGTCAGACACGACCTTCCCTTGACATAGCCATGCTGACTCAGCCATACTTTACCATGCACTTCCAAGTGCTCCGCAATCTCTCCATCCTCAATAATGGACTCTAAACTCAGGCTAACCAGCCTCCAGTTTTCTATCTTCTACCTCCCTCCTTCTTAAACAGGGATATAACATTGGCCGTATTCCATTTCTCTGGCACCATCCCTGACTCCAGTGATTCCTTAAAGATCACCACCAATGCCTCCACAATCCCTTCAGAACTCTAGGATGTAGTCCGGGTGCTTTATCCACCTTCAAACCTTTCAGCTTTTCCCAGATCTTCTCCTTAGTGATGGCCACTGCACGTATCTCTGCCCTCTAACTCTCCTGAAGTTCTTGTATGCTACTGGTATCTTCCACTGTGAAAACTGATGCAAAGTATCTATTCATTTCTTTGTTCCTCATTACTATTTCGCCAGCCTCATTTTCCAGTTGTCCAATGTCTTGGCTCTTTTACGTTCTTTTATAGTATATCTTAGAAAAACCTCTCACAATCCTCTTTTATATTACTAGCTAGCTACTGTCATTTTATCCCCCCCCCCCCCCCCCATTGTTTTATTAGTTATCCTCTGGTTTTTAACGGCTTCCTGCCGATCTTAGATCATAGAATCCCTACAGTGTGGAAATAGGCCCTTCGGCCCAACAAGTCCATACCGAACCTCAGAGCATCCCACCTAATCTACACATCCCTATGGGCAATTTAGCATGGCCAATTCACCTAACCTGCACATCTTTGGACTGTGGGAGGAAACCGGAGCGCCCAGAGGAAACCCACGCAGACACGGGGAGAATGTGCAAACTCCACACAGACAGTCGCCCAAGGCTGGAATCGAACCCAGGTCCCTGGCGCTGTGAGGCAGCAGTGCTAACCACTGAGCCACCGTGCCACCCTAAACATTCATCACATTGTATGCTTTCTCTTTTGTTTTTATGCTGTTGCTGACTTTCCTCGTCAGCCATGATTGCCTTATCCTTGGGATGAATTTCTGCTGTGCCTCCCGAATTTCTCCCAGAAACTTCAGCCATTGCTGCTCCACTATCTTCCCTGCTAGGCTTCCCTTCTGGGCAGCTCCTCCCCCATGTCTTTGTAGTTTCTTTTACTTGATTGTAATACTGTTTATATCTGATTTCAGTTTCTCCCTATACTTAGAGGATGGTGGCTGCAGATCATACATATATCAGCTGGCATGCCTGGGAAACCCTCCTCAGAATGATTCTGAGGATGAAAGATTTCTGTTCCGTAGAATTTGCTCTATTTTCCTCAACAGAAGGTTGAGCAGATTTGATTGAGGTGTTTAAAATCAGATAGGTCTGGACACATTAGAAAGCAAGAAATTGTTCCTATTGTTGGTAGGTTAGAGAACCAAAGGGCACAGGTATCAGATAATTGGCAAGAACAAGGAACAGTGACATGAAGAACTTTCAGACATAGAGGGGTTAGGATCTAGACTGCATTGCCTGAGTCTGCGGTTGAGGCAGAGTCAGCTGAAGCCTTCAAAAGGGAATGAGATCGTTATCTAAAAAAAGGAGAAATTGCTGTCTTAGATAGCCAGCACAGATACAGCTGGCCAAACAGCGCCTCTGGGTATTAATGACTTTATGATACTAGGACAACAAAGTTAACTCATCTCTTTAAATAATATAATGGGATCTTGTGTCAATCTGAAAGCCAAGTGAGTTTATGATGTTGTGGTGATAAGAGACGTGTCTCAAGGAAGGGCAGGTCTGGGTGTTAAATATTCCTGGTTACAAGTTTTTCAGACGAGAAGAATGGGAAATACATTTGGTCAAAAACATTGCAGTACTGGAGAGAGAGGATATTTGTGGGTTCAGAGACAATTAGTTTGGCTAAAGATAAAGAATAAGAAAGGTGCAGTCATATTGCTTGGCATAATCTATAGATCACCAATTAGTGGGCAGGATGTAGAAGAACAAATCTGCAAATAAATTCAAGAGATGCAAACATCATTGTTATATTGGGGTACCTTAATTACCTGTATGTAGACTGGGATAGTGCAGTGTAACATGCAGCAAGGGACAAGTGTTCCTGGATTGTGTTCACGAGCATTTCCAACAGCAATGAATGTCCAGTACAACAGGAAAGGAGGCATTGCTAAACCTTGTTCTTGGGAATGACATCAAGTAGGTCAAGTGAGAGTGGGGGACAGTGATCCTTTTATCATAAGGTTTTCGATGACTGTGTGGAAAATTAAATTGGTCAATCTAGAGCAGGGAGAATCAACTAGTGGAGAGTTGATTTCAGTAGGCAAGAATGGAACTAGGCCAGTTCAATCATGGCCAAAGGTAACTGGGAAAATAATCATTGAACAATGGGCTACCTTCAAAGAGGTGGTTTTTGGGCCCAGTCAAGGTCAATTCCCTCTAAAGGGAAAAGTGATCTAAACCAATCCAGAGCTCCACGGATGTCCAAAGGAAATAGAGATTAAGGAAGAAGAAAAAGTGTGCTTATGGCAGGTATCAGGTTAGCTCAATTGGCGAGATGGCTGGTTTGTGATGCAGAGTGATGCCAACACAGCAGATTCAATTCCTACATGGGCTGAGGGTTACCATGAAGGCCTTATCTTATCAACCTCTCCTCTTGCCTGAGCTGTGGTGATCTGTTGGTTAAACCACCACTAATGAGAGAGCAGCCCAACATTCTGGTAGGACAATGGTGACTTTACAGATAGTAAGTACAATTAATAACCAAGTTGAGTGAACCTGCTTGGTCTGAGGATTCAGATTGACAGTTAACTATTCTCTCCTCCCCATTTATGGTCCAACCAATTAGCATTTTCCTCTCAATCTATAAAATGATGTTTCTTATTTGCAAGTCTGTTTCTTGCATCCTTCTGATGAGTTCAAGATGCAAAGCTTTAATTTCTAATCTCCTTTTTTTAGCAATATTTAAATGCTGTACTAACCCACCAAGCCAGAGATAAGAGTATAACTGACTAAGCCATGGTGATAGTTCAAATGAGACCTCAAACCTTGGAAAAACAGTTTATCTGCTAAGACTTTTTATCACCATAAAGTATCAGTGGTTAAATTTCACATTTCTAATATCCCCTCAATCTTTTTATTTTGTTGCAGGGATTGTTTGCCGCAGGAGAAGATAAGTGGGGAACTGACGAGACCACATTCATTAAAGTATTTTGCAGGAGGAATTTTGCTCATTTGCGAAGAGGTAGAGTGAAAATATCCAGCTTTCTCAAATATTGTCCACATGCTCCACTACTATAAGTAGCTTCCTTTGCTGGCTGTTGATGCCTGACAAACAAGCCCTTCCCTCATCCCCATGATTCATGAGTATGGTTCCCAGAGAAGCAGGAAAGTATCGCAGTGGGCTAAGGGTCAGCATAGTTTATATGCACACTAGGAAATGTTGGAGCTGTTCAATGGTCATTTTATCACCTCTAATGCAGGGTTGGTTGGCTCAGTGGCTAGTGTGTGACTCAGAGTAACGCCAACAACATGGCTTCAGGTCCTGCTCTGACTGAGGTAGAGGTAGGCCTTGCTTCTGATGAATGATTTATTTATTGTCACATATATCGTGAAGATACAGTGAAAAGTGTTTTGTCGCCACAATCTGGTGCCGTTTTGAGGTACAGTAAGGGTAAAAAGAAATTACTTAAATAAAAGTTCATCTTCTGTTAAAATTGGGGTCTCAAACATGGCTTCAGGGCTTCTGCGAGGTGTTTCGGTCCTCAAGGAGTCCTGCTGCGGAAACAACAACAGTGATGCCCCAGGAGACCGAAGCTCTGCTGCCGCCACCTTGCTGACACCGCCAGGAGTCCAGGCTCTGGGCCCACGGCCGCCAGGAGTCCAGGCTCTGGGTCCTGCCCCTGAGAGTGGAAGACGAGCATGAACAGAAACTGTTAGAAGGTGCCAAGAGAAACAACTTGGAGATGAGCCCTCATCACACAGCCAGGTCCTGCCTTTGGATAGAGCACAGTTTTAGTGGAATGGAATGAATGCTCAAAGAATAGAATATTGTCAGAATTACCCAGTTGTCTAAGTTGCAAGTTTGCAAGCACCCTTGGCTAGCAGCTCTCAGAATGCAAAACTTGTACCCTTAGGGCCTTGATTGCAGGCCAAGGATCCGAGGGGGGCCTTGCCTCTCTCTGTGGATCGCTAGCCAAACTTTGGATGGAAAATTGGCCTTTGTCTTTCAATCTCACTGTAGCTTTCCAACTGATTTATCGTAGTGCATGTCATTCAGAGGCTGAGAAAGTTCAGCCCACTACTTCTATGCTGCCCATTTTCTTTCACACAACCCTAAATTCAGCTGTACCTATTCCACAAACTTCCCGATGATGTGTCATAAAGACATCATCCATAAATCTGTTTGAAAATGTACTTCACTGTTTCTGCGCAACTGAGTTTGCTGTTGCTTTTTATTGCAAATTTACACATTTAAACATCATCATTGGCGGCTCCCCGCAGATGAGGATGACTCTGTTCCACTCTCAGGGTGAGTCTGTAGGTGGCTGTATGGACCGATATGGCTACTGCAGGCTCTGTTACACTTGGGGCAGGTGGTGCTCATGGGACGGGGTGGGTAGGGCGTGGGTGTGACAGCACACACCTTTCCTGTTTTCACCCAGCTTCTGCTTTTTCCCAAAGACCAGTCTCAAAGTGCTTGATGCCTTCCCAGAGCTTGATGCTCCTCCTCCACTTTGGACGGTCTTGGGCCAGCCATTCCCCAGTGTCTGTGGGAATGCTGCATTGACACCCTGAGGGTATCCCTGAAACATTTCCTCTGCCCACCTAGGGCTTGTCTGCCGTTTCGGAGCTGGGAGTAGAGCACCTGCTTGGGGAATCTCTTATGGGTCACGCAGACAACGTGTCCAGCCCGTCACAGCCTATCAAGGATGGCCAGTGCCTCGATACTGGGGATGTTGGTCTGGTCCAAGACACTTGGTGTGTCTGTCTTTCCAGCAGATTCACAGGATCTTGCATTTAAACACTCTCATACATCAGGGATGCAATAATCCTAGAACATTGTAAAACATTTTGACTTGTCTGGCTACTGGACCAATTATTAATTTCTTCTTAACAAATAATTCCTTGCTTTCCTGTACTTCCTTCAACGTCGGTTGATTAGGTCCCAAAAGTATCCGTGTTATTCACAGTCCAGCAGTTGATTAGAACCTGTGTTCTCTGCAAAGCTGTTGTGAAACACTATCATTTTAGATCGATTAAAATGACTTCATAAGCATAATTCAGCCAAGTGTTTCCACATTAAACACAGTTGCAAACATGACGTGGCAGCTAACTGGAGTGTGGTAATTTCAGAGTACATCCCTCGTGGCTGGTAAGCAGACACTCCCTGTAGATACTCACTTCGTTAGTAAATGTAATGGTGTTTACTCATCCTGCTGACACAGCCTGGGGCTTGTACTGCCCTGCTGTTGTGCCATACCCGTTCTTCCCAAGTTCAATGGAAACAAAAGGAACTATTGAAAATCAACATTAATTAACCATTCTGAATCTACAAAAAAGGATACAAAATACTATCTTTTATCACATAGTCTTAGAGCTGTACAGCACAGAAACAGACCCTCTGTCCAACTCGTCTACACCGACCAGATATCCTAAATTAATCTAGTCCCATTAGCCAGCTTTTGGCCCATATCCCTCTAAACCTTTCCTACTCATATACCCATCCACATGTCAAAGCACAATATCTAAACCCAGTAAATGTGCTGGACTCTAATATTGCATTTCTCCCATAGTCCAAAGATACGCTGCGTTAGGTGGATTGACCATGCTGGAAAAAAAAACTGTTTTGGAGTGTCCAGGGATGTGTATATTAGGTCGATTTGGCCGTGGTAACACAAAACCTCATGTGGGGTTATGGCGATGGGGCAAAGGGGTGGCTTCCTCTTTGGAGGGTCACTGCAGACTCTAAGAGCTGATTGGCCTCTCTCCCCACTGTAGGGATTCTGTGGTTCGAGCTCAAAGGGTCCAGAGTTGCAATTTTGACACGGCGGGATGTTTGCCCACTTGCAGAGGAGATTAATTTGAATGACACATAGTGCTAACAAAATCTGGTGCAGATTGGATTTTCGTTTTTCAAAGGAAAACATATATTTGAAAATTGCACTCATTATCTGGTTGTTTTGTCTCTGCCCTGACTGCCAGAAAATTACAATCTGCAGAAATCAATACTGGTTTTAATATCCTAAAGAGAAGTTGCTCTTTCCTGAAATAACTGACAGTAGCCCAAGTGTTCTAATAGTCAGAGTCTGCACTGGAGACATCTGTGGGATGCTGTAGAAATCATAATATGGTTAGCTGCATGGAGTTTGCCTGGAAAAATCAAAACTTCAATGGCCACTTCCCCTGCCCTGGAACCTTCCAAGAAAGCCCATTAGATTTGAAGATTCTGGAGGGTTCTGATTCTCATCTGAGCTTAATAGTTAGATCATGATAGAATCCCTACAGTGTGGAAACAGGCCATTCGGCCTGTCGAGTCCATGCCAACCCTCCAAAGAACACCCCACCCAGAGCCACCTCCCTACCCTATCCCTGTAACCTTGCATTTCTCATGGCCAGTCCACTCAGCCTGCACATCCCTGGATACTACGGGCACTTTACACGGCCAATTCACCTAACCTGGTCATCTTTGGACTCAAAGTTACTGAAAGATTTTAGAGGATTTAAAAACAAGCTGTAGCTCCCAACAATTGGACTGAAATGTGAGACCACCTCCCCTGCTCCCAGACAGCACTTCCCCGCCCATGCCCTGACCCCACACATCACTGTGCCATGATCGGCAACCTAACAGCCCCCACAACCTGCCCCTTCTCCTTCCAAGACCCACTGCCCCAGGACCTGAGCTGACACCAATGCCCCTCATTTCGTCCTGGACCTGACATCTTCCCTAGACCTGGACTCCCAAACTGCCCTAAGCACTATAACTCTTACTGGCATCCTCCCATTATCACCCACCTGCCCCCATCACATGGCCATCCAAATCTCACCTCCTATCCTGCCTCCTCATTTGTCTTCTATACTTACCCTTTCACAATGTCTGCTGGACATTTAAACTTGAGAATACTGCACTCCATGCTATAAAATGTGGAGTGCTTTCGCTTATTTGAGGTGGCTGGACAAGCTGGTAGCAAGAGGTTCCTGTCCAGGAATCTGCAGTGCATATGTCAGCTAAAGGTAACTGACTATATCTGTCCCCGATCATATTAAAATAATAGGATTTCTGACCGTGGTCGGAAGTGTTAGGTCATTTTCTTTTCATTGTAATATCAGAATATTATTTGGTTTTTGGATATTTATAAAGAGTAATGATCACAATTTCCTTGCTATTGGCTAGATACACAATGCGGTGGTACAGTGGCTCAGTGGTTAGCAGTGCTGCCTCACAGTGCCAGGGACCTGGGTTCGATTCCACCTGCGGGCGACTGTCTGTGTGGAGTTTGCACATTCTCCCTACATCTGCACGGGTTTCCTTCGGGTGCTCCAGTTTCCTCCCACAGTCCAAAAGATGTGCAAGCTAGGTGGATTGGCCATGCTAAATTGCCCGTAGTGTTCAAGGATGTGTAGATTAGGTAGGTCCTGAGGGATGGGTCTGGGTGGGATGCTCTGAGGCATAGTGTGGACTTGTTGGGCTGAAGGGCCTGTTTCCACACTGTAGGGATTCTAAATGCAAATTAGTGAGCGGTACTATCTAGAGCAGAAGGTTCAACATGCACTTGCAGGACCATGTATTGACCCTGGTGACTGACAAACTGACTGGAAACTTGAGCTGATTCAACATTTTCCTCGCTATATCCTAATTTGCTACAAGCCTTTTTTTTTGACAATCCCTTCCTCTAGACTGCTTCACTAGCATTGGCTCCTGGTGCATTCATGTCTCAATTTCAAAATTACAACCTTTTATTTTCAAAACCCTCCATTCATCCTCATGCCTCTGACCTTCTTCAGCTTGAAAGTTCTTCAGGATCTTCCATTCTGGCCTCTCAAGCATCCCTCATTTTGTTGTTCTGGCTTTGCTGTCCCTACCTTTTAGTTATCAAGGCCCTCCCCTCAGCAATTCCCTACTCTGATTTTTATAAATATATTCTTCTCATCCCTTTCTGCATGACTTGGCCATGGCCCACACCATTCTCGAGTGCAATGGTGAATAGGTGACTTATGGATGCTGTCATTGAGACTATTGTTTTCAGTTCCTGCTCCAAGCTCGGTTCCTTGTCTACCACCTTTATCTGTCTCCCTGGCAAGCTTTAGTCAATGTGACCTATCATCACCTTGTGTGTGTATATGTTTTGTTGAATGAAAAGAACCAGGGCCCTGTGTACTAGTGGACATAGCTTCTTGTACGTGCAAGTGTGTCATACTAGGTCAATCCTGAATTGGTTATCACAGTAATTCCTTGCAAACACCGGATTATCCCGCAAATCTTGTCAAATTGCAGAATCCCATCTAATTTTCAACATGTGTGTTTTGCCAGTATGGTCATTGAGTATGATCAGTACCTTGTTCGTTGTGACCAGCTGAAGGGGCAGGCTGTCTGATACAATCTGCCATTACATATTTGAGTGGTAGCAGAATACCGTTTTGGTTTGACAGAAGCAACCTGTTAATGGTGAACACTACTCGTGTTGCTGTTGTATAATAGCAGCTGTTGCTCAAACTTCTAAGATGCCCGTGGAATGGTGAGGTAATGCAGAATAAGGTGCCATCTGTTTTAACTCAACAAAATGGGTGACATCTCTTTTTTTTTGGTTCATTTCTCAGGGCAATGCCCTTACCTATGGGAATCCACCCACCCGGTTTAAAATTTAAACAATGACTAACACTTAGCTGTTAATTAGCATGAATGTATACGGTTTCCGTGGCAATGCATCAACCCATCAGACTCCACATGCCAACCAATCAATACTCTACTCTCCTCATGTTGTAGAAATAGTGGTTTTGCTACTTAAATTCGTAATCTTGCCAAATATCCTGATGTGTGCAGGATGGAAACCTTTGATAAAGTGTATTTTTTTGAGAATAATTTTAATTGCCTTTTAAGATGTAAATGAGATACTGTACACAAGATGCCTATTTTTGGACTGCCAGTTCGTGTGTAAGATTATTGAGATCAATACAAGGTCACAATCCTGTGAGGCTGCATTCCTGGCATTGACTTATACAGACTTGTGATTCATGGTGATTGGGTAATAACCAAAAAATTGGGAACACTAAGAGTCGGGTATACTAACTTTTAGCCTGATTCTTCATTTGTCATTCTCTCTTCCAGCAAACATCCTTTACTTCCTTATGTAGATTTGTAAAATGTGCCTTCACTAATTCTCTATATCAGTAGTTCAGTTGGCTGGACAGCCAGTTTGTAATGCGGAGTGATAGCAACAGCACCAGTTCGGTTCCTGCACTGGCTGAGGTTACCATGAATATTCCACCTTCTCAACTTGCCCCGTGTCTGAGTTGTGGTGACCCTTAGGTTAAATCACCATCAGTCTTATCTCTCTAATGAGAGAGCGACCCTATGATGGTCTGGGACTGTGCTGACTTTCCCTATATCAGTGCACTCTTTGGGAACTTCAATATTATAAAGTATGAAAACTTTTCATTTAATCAACTGTTGCTCTTGGGACAGTTCAAAATTGTTTGATTTTATGAAAGGGCCGCTGATAGCTTCAAATGTCTAAATATCGACTCGCGTCTCTTCTTGCAGTGTTTGAAGAATACTATCAACTAACTAACAAAGATATTGAAGACACCATCAAAGATGAAATGTCTGGCACATTTCAAATGGCAATGCTAGCTCTGGGTAAGGATTATGTTATCTCCAAACTGTGTCTATAATTGTAGAATGTGCAACATCCCAAGAAAATTGTGGATTATAAACCTTTGCCTTTGAAAGAAGGTAAATGTATGCCACCCAGTGAAGTGCTCCAACCACGGCCAGGTAACAGGCAACTTCTTTCTCGGGGTATATTCAGTCATAGAGCGGGGTATATTCAGTGAAACAGACCCTTCAGTCCAACTTGTCCATACTGACCGGATAGCCTAAATTAGTCTAGTCCTATCTGCCAGCATTTGGCCCGTTATCCCTCCAAACCCTTCCTATTTGTATACCCATCCAGATGGCTTTTAAATGTTGTAATTGTACCAGCCTCTACCACTTCCTCTGGCAGCTCATTCCATACAAGCACCACCCTCTGCATGAAAAAGTTACTCCTTGGGTCCCTGCTAAATCTTTCACGTATGACCTTAAACCTATGCCTCATAATTTTGGACTCTCCTACCCTAGGGAAAAGACCTTGGCTATTCACCCTATCCATGTCCCTCATGATTTTATAAACCTTTATAAGCTCACCCCTTAGCCTCTGACACTTTTGGGGAGAAAAGCCTCAATCTATTCAGCCTGTCTGAATGGCTCAAACCCTCCAGATCTGGCAAGATCATGGTAAAGCTTTTCTGAGACCAGAATGGAATGCACTATTTCAAAACTGGCCTAACCAATGTCTTGTACAGCCTCAACATGATCTCCCAAATCCTGCACTCTCGGGAGCAGAAAATAATTGAAAGAAGGCTGGTGCTAGAATTGACCCTCCATATTTTCAAGGGAGTGAAAAGTCATTGATTGTTCAAGAAATGCAATCACTGGTGTCTGGTTGGACAACTTATCTTGATCAAGTGACTTTGGATTGGCTTTCAGGCAGTCCAACTTGTTTTTTATTTATGCTCTAAGTGAAGTTAATGAAACGGCTTTCAGTTTTAAAATTCCTAACAGCTTCTAAATTTCAAAAAAACAATTTGCTGTCCAAGAAAATACTTTGTGATCATCCTCTGCATAACTTAAACTGTTACTATTTTATAATGTAATTATGTCATGCAAAATCTGAGAGATTGTAAGGGTCAGTTTTCAAATAAGGTATATTTAACACCTTCTAGAATTTTGTATCAATGGGGAATCTTATTATGAGAATATTTCTTCGTCCTATTCCATTATCTTTTTAAAAGGCGATTTCATGTGGACTGCAAATGAGACTTTTAAATGTGCCTTAATAATGAAAGCACTAATCTTTCCGACTGAATCATAGATTCATACAACACAGAGACAGGCCTTTCAGTTCAACTCATCCATGATGATTAAGTTCCCAAACTAAACTAGTCCTATTTACTTGTGTTAGGTCCATTATCCCTCTTAAACCATTCCTATTCATGTACCTGTCACCAAATGTCTTTTTTAAAATCTTGTAACTGTACTTGTATCTATCATTTCCTTTGGCAATTTATTCCATCCACACATATAGCAAACAAGTTAGGATTGCATGAATATTTTGACATTCACCTAGATTTTCATGAAAGGAACTTTGTCTATTGTTTTTATCTTGTACCTTCTCAATGGTTTTGTTACTCATGAATTGAAATTATTTCTCTCACTCTTTTCACTGTAGTGCAATATGCAAAGAGCCCAGCTGCCTATTTTGCAACAAAACTTTATGAATCGATGTCGGTGAGTGTTAGAAAAGGCTTCCTTTGTTTAAATTGACTTTCATCTGTTATACACTGTAGTGTATTGGGAGCTTTGTCTCAATGCTTTAAGAGTTCTTTCCTGTTGGCTGACACTTTTGATTATACTCTGTTTTTCTTTCTGGTGTTGGCCCTCTTTGCTTTTAAGTCTGCTTTCATCAACTTGTCCTCAAAAGGCAACCCTTGATCAAGCTGTCATTGTAAGCTACTATCCCTTGTCCAACCTCCCTTTCCTCTCCAAAGTCCTTGAATGAGTTCTCATCTCTTCACACTACTGTGTTCCCTGGCAAACATCTCTGTCTCAGGCTTGCAGGTTTGCTGCAGTGCTGTAGTGAAGCTCAGCGCAAGCTGGAACAACAGCATCTCACTTTCTTCTTGGCAACTGTACAGGCTTTGGACTCGATATCAAGTTCAACAATTTTAGGGCTTGAAGCACCTTCTCCCATTAGCTTACCCCAACCCCCAGCATACCAAACCTTGTTATTACATGGTCTGCTATTTCACACAACCCATTGTTAGCCGCTAATTGTCCCCATTAGTAGCTATACATTCTCCCAGGGTTATCATTATCCACTCCTTTGCCTGTTCAACTGTTCTGGTCTCTCTTTGGGCTATATCTTCACCTATCGTATACTCCTTATCCTCACCCAATCTTGTGGATAAGAACCAACATTTTCCAAGCTACCATCAGTTTTGAGGAAGTGTTGCTGGACCCAAAACATAAACTCTGATTTCACTCCACAGATGCTGCCAAACCTGCTGAGCTTTTCCAGCAATTTCTGTTTTTGTTTCTCATCTCTCAGATCTATTCCCAGCTTCCTGGAACTTCACATTTGCGTCTCTCTTTCAACTCTGTCACAGTACTGAGACAGCACTTTCTTACCAAATTCACAAATGACATCTAATGGGACTGTGACAAAGAAAAACATTTCTCCTCCGTATTTCCCTTAACCTCCAGTGCTGTCCCACATGGTTTTATTCTTAACTATCTAACCATGACAGGCCTCTCTTCCTGCTCCCACATCATTACCTCCAACCCCCAAAAATCTATCCTTGGCCCATAATCCTATTTTCAATCTACATACTGCTCCTTGGACATATCTGAAAGCACAGCATTAGTTTTCACATCTAGACTGATGATACCTAGGTCTATGTCACTGCCATATCTCCAGACTCCCTCACTGTCATTATAGTATCAGACTACTTATCCGGCATCGATAACGGCAGAGTAGAAATTTCCTACAGTTCAATGTTAGGAACGCAGAAGTCTTTGTTTTCGGTCCTGATTGTAAACTCTATTGCCTAGCTCCTGACTCCAGCCCTCTCCGTAACAACAGTCTGTGGTTAAGCCAGTCTGCTCATAATCTCAGTGTTACATCTGACTGCCATTTGAGCTACTGACCTTATATTGTGATGGCACCAAAACTGTGTTGAATTCCACCTCCATAACTTTGCCCTGTTTCAGTTTATCTGCTGTGAAACCCTTATGCATGCCTTTGCCATCTCAGTCCAATACATTCCTGGCTATTCTCCCACATTCTACTCTTTTCTCTCTGTTAGACGTAATATCATTCAAAAATCTGCCCTTGCCTTAACGTTCACTAAGTCACATTCCCTTATCAATCCTGACCTACGTTAAAGCCTAGTCAAACGATGAATTTTATTGTAAATTCTAATGCTGTTTTCAAATCCCTTCCTCCATATCCATATAATATCCTCAAGCCCTCAAATCATCTGAAATACCTTTACATTTCCAGCAATGTTCAAGAGATCATAATTAATTTTAATTGCTCACTGTTGATGCCTTAACCTTCAGTTGCCTGGGACAGCTCCCTCTCCTACCCCCATACCTCTCTGCTTCTCACTTCTTTATGATGCACCTCGTTAACTGAACCTTTGGTTATCTGACTTAATATCTCTTCATGTGGTTCTGTGTCATATTTTGTTTGGCAATGCCCCAATGAAATGCCTTATGATGGTTTTCTGTGTTAGATGCACTGTTTCTAACATTAAAAGTTGGGTCTTATTAATAATTGTAGAATTGTATGACCCACAGAGTTAATAATTGCACTATTTGGAATGATCTAGAATTAAAATTAGAACTAGGTTTTGTGTCACATGTACTCGAGTACAAAAGAATAGGAGTACAATGTAAAATGTACAATGTTGCCACACACAACGCCATCTTGGGTACAAAGTACCTAGTTACAAATCTTAGCTACTGAAATAGATAAGGTACAAAAATAAAGAAAAAAGCCAGAAGTTCTACATTACAGCTCTTCATAGAATAAATTAGGAAAATAAAGAAATAAACTTAAGATGCTGGAATTACTATAAATCTTGTCGTGTTAGTGTACTCTGTTCAAGTTGGTCGACTATTAAACTCTGTTTAGAGTCCCTAGGTTAAGCAACCAAATGATTTACAAGTACATATAAATGGAAAACATGAAGTATAAATAGATTTGCTAACAAATAAAAATTCCAGCCTGCGAACATCAAAAAGTTGGTGATCAAATCTTTGGGGTTTACCTGTCTGCATCCTTTTCATTCACTTTCAATACCGGTGTTGAATAGAATTCACATTGTTCAATAAAAGAAGCTTATCACTGCAAATAACTCAAATTTCTGATTAAATTCTATCCTTATCTATCTTGTTTCCTGTGACATGGGTATATAGCCAAGCGTGAACCAGATTGGATTGTTTTGTAGCCATGCATTTCATTCAACAGTTCAATTGATGCAAATGCAATTGTTACTGTAATGTCAATTCATATAAATCCAGATGTCAGTGTCAGTGAGAAACATTAATCATGCTGACTCCTGATCGTCTATATTATGAGTGGATTATGACAAGAATTCAGTGTTTTCTTTGTGCCAATTTTAACAGAACGGGAAGTTGCAGTAGCAATGCAGCCATTACTATTTTACAATCAAGCCACCACACCCACTGCAAACACTGGAGACTTTTTTTTTTGGTCTGAATCAGTGGATTGCTTCTTTGAAACCAAATGTATTAACATTTGTGATATAATTAATCACCAATTATGTCAAAGGAAGAATAGTATGTCTGTTTTTGTGCAGTTTAGCTATCTATCATGATAGCTTTCAAAATAAAATAGATTTCTTTAACTTAGCAGTCAGATTAATGAGATAACAAGGTGTAGAGCTGGATGAACACAGCAGGCCAAGCAGCATCAGAGGAGCAGGAAAGCTGACGTTTCAGGCCTAAACCCCTACTATCTCAGATTAATGAGATGTATATAATTCAGAAAGGTGAAAGAACGTAGATAAGATTGGGCGATGCTGATGAACAGCGCAATGAAATGAGGAAGTCTAAAGGTAATAAAGGTATGGAGAGGGGGTTAGCAGCAGTTGATGAACTAGGACAGGATTGGAGCTGAGCAGTATTACAGAAGTAAAAATAGGCAGCCTTAGTTTTGGCATGGATGCTAGATCAGAAACTCATCTTGGATGAAATGAGATTAATACTGCAAATGGACTGGTTTAGTGTTAGATGCTTTAGAGAAAGGGATGGAGTTGGCGGCTGCTGGGCATGTACCAAGGATCAAAGATTCGGTCTTCCAAGGACTTAACTGGAGAAAATTTCTGCTCATCTGGTATTGGATGTCAGACAATTATTAGGATAATTTAGCATTGTTGAGGAGCCAGGATCAGTGCTGGGAACTGCGCTGTTTTGTACATAGAAATAATTTGGATGAAAAGATGGTCTGATAAGTAAGTTTACAGACAACACAAAAATTGGTGGAGTTATGGATAACAAGGAAGATTGTCAAAGGATACAGCAGGATATAGATCAGTTGGAAAGTTGGGCAGAGAAATAGCAAATGGATTTTAATCTGGACAAGTGTGAAGTGATACTTTTTGAGTGGTCCAGTGCAAGAGGAAAATATACAGTAAATAGGACCCTTAGGAGCATTGATATACAGAAAGATCTTCAAGTGCAAGTTCACAGCTCCCTGAAAGTGGCAACACAAATGGAAGAAGTGGTAAAGAATGTGTACACATGCTTGCCACCATCGGTCTGGGCAGTGAGGATAAAAGTTGCAGCTGTGTAGAAGTTTAGTTAGGCCACATTTGGAGTATTATGTGCAGTTCTGGTTGTCACACAACAACAAGGATGTGGAAGCTTTGGAGAGGGTGCAAAAGAGGTTTACCAGGATATTGCCTGGATTGGATTAGCTAGAGGGAGAGGTTGGACAAACTTGCAGTGTTTTTTGCCAGAGCTTCAGAGGCTAAGGGGTGACCTGATGGAAGTATATAAAATTGAGAAGAATGGATATGGTGGACATTGGGAGTCTTTTTCCCAGGATGGAAATGTCAAATACTAGGGACAGAGGTTTAAGGTGGCGGCCCGGGGTGGGGAGCGGATTTAAAGGAGAGGCAAGATTTTTACACAGCATGGTAGCTGCCTCAAACACAGCTAGGGGAGCTGGTAGAGGCAGATACAGTTGCAACATTTAAGAGGCATTTAGACAGACACTTAACAGGCAGGGAAATGGACCATATGCAGGCAGATGAACGTAGCTTAGAATGGCATCATGGTCAGCACAGACATGGTGGGCCGAAGGCCCTGTTCCTGTGCCATTATGTTCTATCTTCTAAAAATTGTAGCATATTTGGAAATGAACAGCCAGCAAGAATGTGGACTTGTATAGTACCTTTTTAATTTTGTAAAATCTGACCGAAATGTGTCAGAGCAGTGTAATCAAACCAGACTAAATCTGGCCCTGAGCCTCCTAAGTATATTTTAAAGCATATCCCAAAAAGTTGATTTATTAAGAGGCTTTTGTGAAGTCTCTTAATGAAAGAGGGTAAGTAGACAGACTAGATATCTTTAGAGAGGGAATCCTAGATCGAAAAGCTGGGACAATTTGAGGTGGGTAAGGGAAGCCAGGGATGCACGAGGCCAGAATTGGAAGAACATTAAAGTTCTGAGGAAGGGTCACCGGACCCGAAACGTTAACTCTGATTTTTGTTTTTCTTCACAGATGCTGCCAGACTTGCTGAGCTTTTCCAGCAACTTCTGTTTTTGTTCCTGATTTACAGCATCCGCAGTTCTTATCAAAGTTTTGCCTTCCACTTAATGGGGATGACTCCTGAACTGGCCGCAGGACCAGCTAGATCTAATCCCTCATCATCACCAAACCTTGGAAAGTTGCACAATTTTGTCAACACAGATCCTTGATACCAAAGACCTTTTTGTCTTTGGGGGGTGGTGGTGATTTGAAGTGGTAAGGGAATGTGGGAAGTGTAGCAATGCTATAAGCCCACAAGCTGTGCAGTAAAAACAATGACCACGTTCCAAGGCTTTTTCCTCACTTCTCTCATCTGCTGGATCCCCTGGCCTGGAAAACCAATAGGCCATGTGTAAATACTGGAAACAGGATGAATCTGAGGCTGCTAGTCCTATTTTAAACAATGTACCTAGCTAACAAGCTCCTTGGGGAAGGAATGGATATGATGGTTTTCAAAAAAAAAGGGAAGCGAGCCTCTGATCTGGCCGTAACCCTAGCTCACTGGTTTTTAAGTGATTAAACCCAGTCCTTTGAATCAGAAGTGGTAAGATATTTTACACAACTAGCATCCACTACAGTGAGTAGCTGCTAAGTATCTGCTTATCTCTGCATGTGCTTGTTTCAATCTGACCATTCAGTATATTCAGTCACTGGATTTTAGCTGTTCTGTTTCTGTTAGGGTGCTGGTACAGATGACAGAAGCCTCATTCGAATTATAATCTCTCGGTGTGAAGTAGATATGATTGACATCAAAGCTGAATTTATGAGGCTGTATGGAAAATCATTATATTCGTACATTCAGGTATGTCCCTAATTAATATATGCTTTAAAAAAACTGCAAATTAATCCTGCATGCTAATTCTAGTATCCTGTGGACATTATCGTAAACCAAGGCTGTGAAGGCATTTAACTGTAGCATTACTTCCCTCCTGTTTTGGGCCCGGACCCTAACAAACTTAGCTGGAATATTGTGTACAGTCCTACGCGCTGCGCAGTAGGAAGGATGTGCTAGTACTGGAGGAAGTGCAAGAAAGGTTTCCCAGAATGGTTCCAAGCGGGGCACAGAGGTTAACTCTGCTGCCTTCCAGGTTTGATTCCGACCTCGGACAACTGTCTGTGCGGAGTTTGCACATTCTCCCCGTGTCTGTGTGGGTTTCCACCGGGTGCTCCGGTTTCCTCCCACAGTCCAAAGATATGCAGGGTAGGTGAATTGGCCGTGCTAAATTTCTCCTAGTGCCAAGGGATGTGTAAGTTAGATGAATTAGCCATGGGAAATGCAGGGTTACAGGGATGGGTCCGGGTGGGATGCTCTTCGGAGGGGCGGTGTGGACGTGTTGGGCCGATTGGCCTCTTTCCACACTCTAGAGATTCTGTGATCTATGATGAGAAATTCTTTTGTAATGGTGGAGAAAAAATGAGATTTTGGGACTGTTTTCTTGATCGAGAAGGCTAAGAGAAGATCTGATGGAAGTTCTGAAAATCATGAGGTGCCTAGACATAATAGTAAGGAACTGTTCACTCCTGTAAACAGATTGAAAACCGGAGCGCATAGTTTTAAAGTGTTTTTTGCAACAGTAGCAAATGTGAGCTGAAAAGATCTTGATGATTGGTAAGGGTATGGATTTCCAGGAAGCCTGTTCAATTGAGCCATTCAAAAGGCCATTAGATGATTATTCAAATAAAAACAAACAATGTGCAGAATCGTGGAGTATTGGCACCAAGTTCACATGTTCAGAGAGCTAGTGTAGACATGATGGGCCAAAAAGCTGCCTCCTGTACCATAACTATTATGCTGGAGTGTAGATAAACAGCTACAGAAGACTCTACAGACTTAGCTGTTGCTTCTGTATATATCCAGTTACACTTGACTTCTGTTTAGTCCTACACCCATTAAAGATCATTATCTCACTGCAAGGAAGAAAGCCTGGAAATAGATGTGAATAGAGGCTGAAATGTCAACTTGGATACCAATTGTACCCTGTTTCTATTCATTCCTGCTTCACATATGTTAAGGGCAAACCAAAAAATAATTGCTTGCGTCCACAAAGATTTCCAGACCTTTGTGTCCAATGGTTGTGGAAAGCATCAAGTCTACTGGCGGACATTGCATTCTCCGTTTCTCAGGTTACCGGGTATGGAAAAGAATGAAGGGGAAAGTTACGTTTTATATAATTAACCTTTCCAAATACAGCACAATTAGGTTTAACAAAGCATATTTGTTTTAGAGTTTGGCTTTCCTGCTTTATTATGTACTGGTTTATCCAACTGAGCACTGCTGTTGCATTGCTGAACCCACCTTGATCTGATTTCCAATGGAGTAGGCTTGACTGGCCAGATGGCCTACTCTTGTTCCTATTTGATATGACATTCAGTTCAAACCAATTGAGAAACATTAAAAGAAAGGAAAAGCCAAGTTTGTTGTTCACAGATGACTATGAAGTGACCCTTACATCCACTCCATCTTGTTGGATATATGTAGATCTTTTGAATCAACCTGTTCAGCAATGTTATGACACACCTCTGGAGCAGATGGGGCTTGATACCGGGCCTCCTAGCTCCGAGGTAGGTACGCTACCACCACATCACAGGAACCCTTTCTATTAGACCTGGTATTTCCAGGTGTTCTTCTCTACAAATACTCACCAGGCTTAAGTCTGCTTAGCTTCCGCGGTCAGACGAGATGTGATGTCTCTAGGCTAGTATGGCCGTAGGTTACAGATATGTATGTTATAAAGAATATCAGATGAAGATAGAATTGTAACCATCTATGATGTCTGCTATGGTCTGTCACCCAAAGTGCAAGCCATTAAATGTACACCCTTGGGAGGCAAAACAACATCTCCTAGAAATAGTTAATAACTGGACATTCGGCAGAAAGAGAGAAAGCCTATGCAGAATTCAAATTCTGGCTACTAGCGAAACCAATTTTCTGGAAACCTTTATCTCTCAGTGCGCTCTAACCTCATCCTTGACCCCATTACTCACACTTGTGTTAAAACACTCTGTTCTAGGACATTGAAACTGTTGGTTGCTGGAATACAGCAGCTAGTACTGATCCACTGCTACCTCTGAAGATTCCTGTGCTGAGCAGTTTTTTAGGAACCCTACATTGGAAGATTGTTCACGAAAATTGGAGGAAGGCAAACGGATAACCTTTCTCTCTCTGGTCACAGGGATTTTGATACTGTCCAGAAGATTTGGGCCGTGGAACTTGGTTCTGTTCTGGTATTTGATGACATAAGAACTAAGAACTAGGAGCAGGGGTAGGCCATCTGGCCCTTCGAGCCTGCTCCGCCATTTAATAAGATCATGGCTGATCTTTTTGAGACTCAGCTCCACTTACCCGCCCACTCACCATAACCTTTAATTCCTTTACTGTTCAAAAATTTGTCTAGCCTTGCCTTAGAAACATTCAGCGAGATAGCTTCAACCGCTTCACTGGGCAGGGAATTCCAAAGATTCACAACCCTTTGGGTGAAGAAGTTCCTCCTGACCTCGGTCCTACATCTGCTTCCTTTTATTTTGAGGCGATGCCCTCTAGTCCTAGTTTCACCTGCTAGTGGAAACAACCTCTCTGCCTCCACCTTATCTATTCCCTTCATAATCTTATATGGTTCTATAAAATCTCCCCTCATTCTTCTGAATTCCAATGAGTATAATCCCAGCCTACTCAGTCTCTCCTCATAATCCAACCCTCTCAACTCTGGAATCAACTGAGTGAATCTCCTCTGCACCCTCTCCAGTGCTAGTATATCCCTTTGCAAGTAAGGAGACCAAAACTGCACACAGTACTCCAGGTGTGGCCTCACCAGGACCCTATCCAGCTGCAGCAAAGCCTCCCTGTTTTTAAACTCTATCCCTTGAGCAATGACAGACAAAATTCCATTTGCCTTTTTAATTACCTGCTGCGCCTGCAATCCTACTTTTAGCGATTCATGCACAAGGACACCCAAGTCCCACTGCACAGCAGCATGCTGCAATTTTTTACCATTTAAAACATAGTCCATGACAAGTCCCAAAAGTAGTTAAAAGGAAATTGAAACGAGAGCATAACATGCCTTGCTGACCCAGTGCCAGATCTGTAGCTGGACTTTAAATTGGTCCCATTGCGCATAAACCATTTGCATTGTTTTACTGCGCTCTCTGCCTGGAACAATTGTCTGACTTGGTAGCAAGGTAAAGGCAGATGTTGGCTCGAGGGCTACCTGTGTTGTTTTTATTGTAATATTTATAAGGCAGCCTGCAACATCAATTTGGAACCAACAGTTTGCTGCTTGAGCAATTTTCCCATTATAAATTAACTATCTCTTTCATGTTTGGGGGTGGGCAGGCTAACACACCTTGTGTACAGTGTGCAACTCCCTTGGTACTTGTCAGTTGTATTGCTATGTATCCGATGCCTGTGGTTCCACAACTAATTCCTTAATTCTATCCTTTTGCCCAGTAGCCTGCTCCAATACCTCAGGTAATTGGCACTTACCTTCTAAATTCTAAGTTAGAAGTGATCTATCTCCATGCTTCATTCCATCAACCCTTCTCCCCATTTCCATTCAGATTTATCATTCATTTAAGTGCATAGATGTATAGGATATTGAGTCTTTCAACAAAGTATGACTTTTCTCTAATTGTCAGATCCATAAAGATAACAATCTCTCCCTCAATGTCAGCAAAATGATAGAGCTGATCATTGACTTCAGGAAGCAGGGTGGAGGGCATGCTGCATTTACATCAATGGAGCTGACGTGGAGAAGGATAAGTGTGTCAAGTTCCTAGGAGTGATGATCACCAATAATCTGTCCTGGTCCACCCAAGTTGAATCTATGGTCAAGAAAGCACAGCGATGCCTCTACTTCCTTGAAGCTAAGGAAGTTTGGTTTGTCTGTAAAGACTTCTACCAATTTTTATCATTACAGCATAGAAAACATTCTTTCTGGATACATCATGGCTTGGTATGGCAACTGCTCTGCCCAGGACTGTAAGAAACCAGAGAAAATTGTGAACATAGCCCAGTCTATCACACAAGCGAGCCTTCCATCTATTGACTCCATCTATACTTCTCACTGCCTTAGAAAGGCAGCCAACATCATCAAAGACCTCTCCCATCCCTGTCATAATCTCTTTCACCCTGTTCCCATCCATCGGGCAGAAGATGCAAAAGCTTAAACACATGTACCATCAGATTCAAGAACAGCTTCTTCTTCCCTGTTATCAGACTTCTGAACGAACCTCTCAAATTTTAAATTTAAATGTTGAGCTCACTGTTTTTGCACCTTCTCTGCAGCGGTAACATTGCATTCCTCGCTCTGTTCTATTACCATAATGCACTTGTGTATGGTATGATTTGCCTCTACTGCACGCAAAATGCAACTTTTCACTGTACCTAGGTACATGTGACAATAAATCAAATCGTAGAATGCAGCTGTCTGTTTGGCCATTTATTTTTGGATATTGCTGTTGTGTAGTCTCTCTCATTCAATAAATGAGGCAGGAAATATAACCAGAGGGATTAAAAAAGACATAACTTTGGGAAATAGTTAGAAAACTGTACAATGAGTTAATGGTTGCCAGTACACCTGATTTAGTTATAACTGCTTTTATCTAATTTATTATATTTGACTCTTCGGTCAATACAATGAAATGGCCAACTGAAATGCATAACAAGAATAAGGCTTTTACTTTTCCTACAGGATGATGTAGGAGGAGATTATGCTAAGATTTTGCTGCGACTCTGTGGGATGGACGAAGATGAAGAATGAAGCGCATTTACAGTTTCAGATAAAATGGCCACAACCACGACTTTGGATGTGAAATGCATATCTACACTGTCTTGTTCACTCCCATTTACTTGTATTCTGTATACTTCACATATTAAAATTTCAATTCACAGTAAATTCAACATTTGGGATATAGAGCTGGATCTTGAAATCCACAATGTGTTTGTTTAACAAATTTTTCATCCTGAATCAGTGTTTCCATGAATGCTAGATAAACCGTGCATTTTTGTTCTTTGTCAAACTGTTTCCCATCAGTCATTGCATTATCAACTCTGTAAACAAAAATATGCTTTTACACAAAAGATTAGTGTTTGAAACCTAGTTGGCAGCACCTAAATTATATTTAATATGCTGAGCATTGAAAATTGTAATAATGGAAGATTTTAATTTCTAAATTGGCACTTCATATTTGTTGAACTCTGAATCCTAATTTGTGCTCAGCATGATGCTATTAAATATTTTGTTTAGGGAAGGGTTTAATTTTGTATCTACTGCATTTTTAATATAAATATTATAGTTAACAGCAGATTGTGATTTGAAGATCTTGGCCTAATATTGAAAATAAAATTCCTGACAACTTTTCAACTGATTTTACTGCATTCCTTGTCTTTTGTGACTGTATTTTTAGGTAGTTCTCAGTTATTTTCTTCACTTGCCTGAGTGTGCATTTCTAGCCAGTGATCAGTTGCTGATGTGAAAGACCAGTTGTAACAAAATTGGAGATAATTTTTCCACAACTGGCATGCACCAATCTCTGCTGGATGGTCACCCACACTAATACAGCTATGCAGACAAACCGTCTCGGATTCTGCAGCTGTTAAACCATCTTAAGCCAATAAGTGATGCAATTTTCAATCTGTTTAGTTGATTTTTTTAATGATGTATTTTAGATACAAGTTTTTTTTGATGTATTTGCATATATGGCAAAGTTCACAGTTTTGCTTTGTAATGTGAGGAAAGGTGAAATATGTTGCATCAATGGTGCTGCCCTTAATTTTATTTTCAAGTCTTGAACCAACCTATGGAAGATTGTAAATTTGCCATGATTTCTTAATTGATGACACGAGCCAGCTACAGCTGCATTTCTCATGTCTCTCAGGACTCCAGATACGACCTTGTATTTTTAATGTGCATGAAATCTTCGGAAATCAGATCTTCGCAATAAGAATTATTTAATAGCTGACCAGCGTAGAGTGAGTGTTTTTACCAGAGTGATGCACTTGCTTTATTTTGTGGGTGTTGCTGTAACTCAATCCTATTTCAGAAACAAAATATGCTGCATTGCTTTTTAAACTATCCAGTGAATTGAAATGCACATTTATATTTGCATCTGTATCTCTTTTTATCCTGTTGTGCTCTTGGCAAAGTGAGTCATACTACTCGAGTTCTTGCTTTGCTTAACTGGCTGAGTAATTAGAATGTGATTTGCAGCATAATGAAAGCAGGAGCCCTGTCTCTGCAAATCATTTCAAAATTCATGAGGTTTATCATTCTTGTTGCCATAGAAATCAAGTTGTGCATTTCCTTACCCAACGTGTTGAGTGACTCCATTAACCTACTACCCTCTAGGCTTATGTGCTTTAATCTTGCGCCTTAGCCTCTTATGTGGGACTTTATCAAAAGTTGTCTGAAAATCCAAATACATCACATCTACTTTATTTATTCTTCTTGTTATGCCCTCAAAAAAACTCCAGTAGGTTTATCAAACATATTTTGCCTTTCATTAATCCATGTAGATTTTGTTTAATCTTGTTGCTATTTCTAAGTATCCTGTTATCACATCTTTTTAAAACACTTTACCTTCTGCAGGCTGTACCTTCCTAACCTGGCTTTCTGTGGTTGAGCAACTTCCTAATCTGGCACCATTTGTATTTCCTGTTTTCTCTGTAGTGGGAAAATGGATACAAAGGACATTTAATGGATGTACTGCATGCAAAACCATACTTTTCAATCTACCTAGGTACCTGTGACAATAATAAATCAAATCAAACATGTGTTTGGATGTCAATGGAAAACATCCATTAATGTCCTTTGTATCCCTTTGAATTCAGTTTGAATATCCTAAATCCTAAATCTCTGTAATTGCAATCATATTGTGCCACTTTAAAACTCTTAATTTGTCATTCTCATTGTGAATGCTTCCTGCATTCAAATACAGTATATTTGTCCTTTTAACATGCGTATGCTTTTATTTTTGTGCTTTGGTCCTATTTGCTACTAGTCCTTGTTCCTCTACCTCCCCCTTTCCTTTCTACTTTAACTTTCATTTCTAACTTTGTGTTCCTTTCTTGTGTCTCCTCACACAGGTTCTCAATGTCCCATTGCTCCACTTTAAGTCTTCACCCTAGTACTGGCAATTGCCCTGTTAGGCTATCAATCTCACTCCTGCTTTGGTGAACCCTTTTCCTTTGAATAGGTTCTGATGCCTCACGATCTAAATCCAGCCATCCTATAATCCAAAATTACAGCCTGAAATGAATATGAACAAGAAAGCCCACATGTTGTCAACCTGATATCTTTTTGATATGAACATTACTTATAAGTACAAACTTCAACTGTAAAGCAAACTTTAAAACTATATAGCCAAAAGAAGAGAAGCCAACTGCAAATAAATAAGAAAAAGCACTGAAGTATTGATTTCTTGTTTCCTCTGACATTTGTAAAGAGCATAAAGCAGCATAGCAAGGAGGGAATGCCAACATTTGAACACGGACTGGCATTCAAGTGACATTTTGTTAGAGTTTCAGTTATTCACAGAAAGAATTAATCTTTTCTTCATTGGTCATCAGATAACTGGTAAGGAAAAACAGGGTGTCAAAAGTCTTATTGCATTGGGAAATGAAAGATTACAAAGGATAAACTCCTCGAGCATTTTGACTGATGACAGCAAAGAGCCAAATAAGGCTTACCAAATCTGAGACGACTAAATTAAGGTCAAAACCAACTTCAGAATGCACAGATTTGAGTTCGTGTAATACCACCAACAATCAGGTGAAAATGTTGACCAGTTCAAAGTCAAATGTTGATGCAAAGATAGACACTTTGATTTCAATGAAGCTAACATAGCTGACAGACTGGTGGAACTAGCCAGTGCCTCCATTCCCATCAAATCATTCCAACAAACCTGGACCTGATGAAGGGTCTAGGCCCGAAACGTCAGCCTTCCTGCTCCTATGATGCTGCTTGGCCTGCTGTGTTCATCCAGCTCTACACCTTGTTATCTCGGATTCTCCAGCATCTGCAGTTCCTACTATCTCTCCAAATCATTCCAAAAGGCACTTCTTGTCATGCTTAACAACATGACCACCCCTGCACCATGAGAAGAAGGACACAAGTTCATTTATTTTCTAATCAACCTGTTCAGAGGTATTATGACACACTGCTGAACCTGCATCTCCTGGTTCAGAGATAGGGACAACAAGAGTCCCCTAGAACACAAGGTCAGAGCAGCTGCATTAGGACAGCAATTACTTGACTCCGCAACGGCAACTGTCAACAAGGCCCAAATCATGTCTGAGATGTGAATTGATGTGCAGGGCTACGGTCCACATGTAGGTGGTAAGTATCCTTCAGCATTTTCTATGAGCGTATAAACAATGATAGGCCACTCAGCCCTTCAAGTCTGGTCCACCATTCAATAAAATAATGACTGCCTGATTATAACCCCAACTCTGCATTCCTGCATACCTCTAATATACCTAGTCTGAAGAATGAGGGGGTTCTCAAAGAAACATATTAAATCCTGATGGGACTGGACAGGCTAGATGCTGGAAGAATGTTCCCGATGTTGGGGAGGTCCAGAACTAGAGGTCACAGTCTAAGAATAAGGGGTACGTCATTCAGGACTGAGATGAGGAAGAATTTCTTCATTCAGAGAGCTGTGAACTTGTGGAATTCTCTCCCACAGAAAGCAGTTGGGGGCATTTCATTAGATATATTCAGGAGGAAGCTGGAAATGGCCCTTGCAGCTAAAGGGATCTAGAGGTATGGAGAGAAAGGGGGAGTGGGATACGGAAATTGCATGATCGGCCATGATCAAATTGAATGGTGGTGCAGTCTCAAAGGGCCTACTCCTGCACCTATTTTCTTTGCTTCTATGTCATGTGATTGACTCATTACTGCCATCCAAAATGGTCCAGCACTCTGTTCCAGGGCAGTCAGGGATGAGCAACAAATGTTGGCCTTGCAAATGACACCCATATCCCCTGAACAATTACAAAAACAAATCGCTGATCTGTGACAAATAATCCATGGAAAAAAAGCAATGTAATTAGCTCAGGGATTAAAGTATAGGTAATGTTTTGCTTTGTGTGGTACTGGCACTGGATCCCCAAGGTGAAAAGTGTTCCAGAACCTTTAAATTTCACACTTAAGTGAACACTAAAATAACAATGACAAATTTGCATTTATATAGCACCTTCAAAGTAGGAAACTTGCTTTTGAACAGCCTGTCTGCTCCTGCTAGCAAATAATTGAAGCTTGACACCGTTTCCAGCTGCTTCATCAACGGCCTTTCTTCCATCATAAGGTCAGAAGTCACAGTGTTCAGTTCCATTTGACATTCCTTCTGACTGTGTCCACGTGCTTCAAATCTAAATAACATTCAGGCTCAGGCTGGTGAGGCAAGAAAATTTATGCAACACAAGTACCTGGAAATGACCATTTCCAATGAGGCAGGAAACTCTCCTCTTGAAGTTCAGCTTAATTACTATCACTGACTACCTGTGGGTCACCATTGACCAGGAACTAAACTGGACCAGTTGCAAAAATACTGTGATGACAACAGCAAAATGAGTGGTTAGGAATTCTACAGTGAGGAATTCACGTCCTGATCTCCCAAAGCCTGTCTACAAGTTAGGAGTGTGATAGATTACCCTCTGTCTGGCTGTATGGATGCAGCACCAACAATATTAATGAAATTTGACCCCATCCAGGGAAAAGCTGTTCGCTTGATTGGCATTCCATTCACTACCTAAAATAATCACTCCCACAACCACAGGCACATCCTGGCTGTTTCGTCACTGTCGGCGGATCAAAATCCTGGCACTCCTTCCCTAGCCGTATAGACTGCACTGATTCAACACCATTTCTTCAAGTGCATTTAGGAATGGACAACAAATGCTGGCCTAGCCAGGGAAAACCCAGCAGTGATGTTTTTCAATTCTTGCCTGGCCCGGTGTCTGATGATGCCTCCAAGGGCACCATGAGACATTTTACCACATTAAAGGAACTTTGTAAATGCAAGTTGTTTTTGTCTGCTTTTTTAGAATACAGTGCAACTGGTTGTAATACTGTGAGTAATTCTGTGATTCATTAAAATAAAGACAAATTTCCTCAGGGTTCCTCCTGATCTACCTCCACAATTCTGGTGAAAAACTCCTGCTGTACGTGGCGTTTGGCCTGTCTTTTGCTGAAGTTTCAGAGAGCTAAGTTCTCTGAGTGAAGAGCCAGATACTTTCTGCAATTTGGCATAAAATCAATTATTACATCAGTATTCTGTGAGAAGCAAAACATGGACTGCACTTTCAAGTTGCATTGGTCTTGATCCATATCTCCATCCCTATCATATGGTATATGTTGGGACTTATACCATACCTTACCACTTTGGCTCTGTGCACCTTAACTGAGGCATGTTCCTTTATTTGTGCATCATTCCATAACATGTTAAATAAATTGATCCTTGTAAATTTGACATTGCTTTACTCAGCAGATACAATTTGCATTGAATTATTAAAGACATCTCCACTGTTCTATTTATACGTGAAATGATTAGTCAGTAAAAGGATATATATATTTCATAGAATCCTTACAATGTAGAAGCAGGTCATTTGGACCATCAAGGGCAGCAGATACATGGAACACCACCCTCTGTAAGTACTGCTCCAAGCCACTCACCGTCCTGGCTTGGGAATATATGGCTCTTCTTTCACTGTCACTGGGTCAAAATCCTGGAACTTCCATCCTAAAGGCATTGTAGGTCTACCTACAGCATGTGGAATGCAGCGGTTCAAGAAGGCAGCTCACCACCATCTTCTCAAGGGCAACTAGGGATGGGCAATAAATGTTGGCCCAGCTAAAAAGATGCCTTGACCTCTCTCTAGGCACTCTATCTTCTCAAACAGACAGGTATCCACAAGGAGGAAGAATGACAGACAAGTGCCCCAGCAGTTTCACCTCCTGTACCATTGACACCATTAACACCAGCAGCTCAGGCAGAAGGGGGTGAACCTGTCACTATGCAGGAGATTATGAGCAGGCCTGGATCCTTAAGCCCCAAAGTGCCAGAGAACATCTGC